GAAATGAACCTTGGTATAAGCCAAGGTCAATGTGCCAAGAACTGAGGAGTAGGATGACCTCAATCATTTGCCCCTGAGCTTCTCTACTGCATGTGTGCACACGAAAAGCACCAATATGGCACATCCATAAAAGGAAATGCCATATAGCCATTGCATGTAATATTTCAGGCCTGCATTTATAGACATCAAAACATAGTTGTGATTTCATACTAAGCAAAAGAGCAGGTTACCAAACATGCCGTCTCTTGTTTCACTTTTTTTAGAAAAATAAAAAAATCTGTGAGTGGGAGAATGACAGGGCTGATGGGATTTCAGTGATTCAAAGGTTTTTCTTCTTCCTTTTCTGTATTGCTAATTTGCCTTCAATAGCTATGCACCATGCAATAAAGAAAGAATAAAAGGTTTTCTTTTAAAGACTATTTATGCTTTTATACAAGTACAAGAATACTAAAGAGGTCACTGGCTGTGAGAGTTTACTGGTACCAAAAGGTGACTTCTCTCTAAGGTTTTGGTCTCCAATGTGCACGGTCAGACCCCAGCTTTAGGAGCCACTCTTTCCTTTTCTTATTCTAAGGCTGCTTAGAATAAGAACGGGCCAGAGAGCTGGGACCCGCATTACGGATGGCTCTGCGCTTAGGGATGAGGATGGGTGTCCACAGGAACTGTTCTTGGTCCCAACAGGAGTACATCTATCTTCAGCCCAGGAAAGCCACTTCCGCACAGCAGTTTACAATGTGTGTGCTCCGAAGGGAAAGCTTCCAGGCAAAGGTTTAGACAGGTCAGGGCTGGCGGTCTCGATGAAGCCAGCCTGACAGGAAGAGTTGGAAGCCGCAGCTGCTGGCTTCGGGCCACGCAGACTTTTCCTCCTTTGCCTCCCGACTGCTGACAGCCATCCCCAGGCAGCGTTTAACAAAACCTGTTCAAGGCTTTCCGCTTACCATTCATCAACTTTTTGTAAAGCTGTTTGGGGCAACACAGAGTAACCAAATGCAACAGATCTTTCCCTTCCCACATCTGAGCAGACTTGACTGGCATGTAACGGAGCATTCGGGGAACTGCAGTCTCGGGAGCAAAGCCCCTTTTTGAAGTGCTTGCCTGCATCCAAGTATCGGAACTGACAGCCGGCCGCCAGCCCGTGACGTTAGGAAACAGTGCTCTTGTCTTTCGGAGCGCGCGGTGCTGGGATCTGTGAGATGTCTTCCTCTGAGGGCTGTGCTGACGACTCCAGGCTAGAGTTGAAGTTGAACCTGGGCCACACTGACTGACATTCAAACAGCCATGAAACCGAGATTCAACAAAGCTGTGGTCATACTATAGAAGGTGTGTTCAGTATGAACCAGGGTTTGAGGTAGAATAAAAGAGGGAGGGCACCAAATTCCTGCATGGAGGAATGAATTAAAATGGGGCAAGGAAGTGTAAGACATCTATAATAGTGTCAACTATTAAAAAAAAAATGATAGGAGGGAAGTTAAATTTGAGAACTGCCCTACCACTGGTGCTAGGCCTATACTGAAGGAAGCATATTTCTGTAGTTAATACAGCAACACTTTTTTATGTTGCCTTTGTGAACTGAAAATCCTAGATGGGAAATTGCCTACTGATTAATTTAGAACGAATAGCTTCCTTGGCTCATAATTTCCCACCAATCATCACATTCATAATTTTGCACCAAAAATTCAGTTGCTGACTTTTTTTTCAGCATGTAAAGAAAGATAAAGTGGCGTACCTCATTCCCAGAGGTCCCTGGATTTGAATTAAATTACGTGACATCGGACCAGAAACAGATTCTAATCCAACCTCTTTACAGGCTGTACGTTAAGAAATCACATAGCTCGTCTGGGTCTGTTTCCTCACCTGTAAAAATGGGGGGCCACCACCATCTGGTCGGAGGATTGTGTTGGGGTTCAAATGAGATGGTTGATGAAAATCATCTATTTGGCCCAGTACTAAGCACACATATATTATCTATGTCTTTGTGTGTGTGTATAATCTAATATATATAATTCTATCATCTATCTATTATAGGTAGACAGTAAGTGTTGGCTTGCTTCTTTCCTTCCTGATGGCTTCAATGGTTTTTCATTATGAGGAGACAGGAGGCAAGAAAAAGAAAGATGAGAGGACAAATGGTGATCAGTGGAGCAAGGTTCTGGGATCGAGGGAGGTGGTGTCACTGAGAAAGGACATCTTTTCCTGAGACTGTAGGGAGATGGTGAGAGTGGCAGCTGAGGAGTTTTGCAGGCAAGGAAGAAGGTTGAAAACAGGACCGAGTAAAGGAGACTTAATCTTGAAGAATGGAATATGTTTGTGTAAGTTAAAAAAAAAAAAAAAAAAAAAAAAAAAGGCAAGCCTTTCCGCTCAACAAAAAGCGATCTGCAAAAACCCATAATTTCCGTAATATAGTTATTGTCAGTACCATTTTAGAGATAGTATATATGTGTGTACATGTAAAAAAATCACACCTTATTAGCCATTATCTTTTCATGCTAAATTTTTATTTCAATGTTATGCCACTGCATAAGTATAAATATTTCAATATACAACAATTAGGACATCCATAGGGAGTTTCTTAGAGAAAATAAGACTGCAAACACTTTATTGCACAGATCCTAACAAACGTTAAGCTGGTAAATCTATCGCTGGGAGCACTACCGGGGGCACATCTTACAATCACAGGAGACGGACCAGAGGGAACACAGGAGGGTTTTTACCAGCTGACCGGAGAGGTTACCAACAACAGACAGTTACCACATGAATGCAACCGTAGTACTCCTTACGCATCCAAAACGCAAAAGCATTATTTGGCAAAAATGATAATTAATACACTATACAAAATATACACAGATATGTTGTCTGTAAACAAGCACCTAGTTGTGCTTTAAAGGAAACTGGACAGTTAAGAAGCATCGGCTGTAAACCATGAACTGCCTCCCCGACAGCCCTGTCTTGATGTCTGAGTGCAGAAGCCGTGGGTTATGACAACCAACAAACACAGATGTGAATTATAAATGTTGAGACCACTTTTGAATCCCTCTTAAGTTCTTATAAAATATTTGTTTCTTCTACAACTTCACAAAGGCATGATGGGGAATGGATAGAATTATGTGGGAAAGGATGGGGCAAGGAGACTTTTCATACTTTCTCTTTTTTTCTTTTGTCATTGCCAACTCCTTTTACAGTGAAGGACAACCAAGTTAGTTAAATTATGCCTTTGTTTTTGGAGCCGAGTTTACAGTCCTGATAAAGGATTTACAATCCAAAGGGCCATAGGTTGATGCTGTGCTTAGATGAAGAATTTTATAGCCTAAAGATACTAAGACATCCCCGAGAGGGTTTAGGTGCTGAGTTAGCATTCATTGGTATTTTTTTTTCCTCTTTCAAAAACAAAACAAACATTCCTGCTATGGATCCCAAGCATCTTACAAATATTTATTCTGTGTGTATTTTCCTCTTAGTACTTAGTGCCTTAGTACTTATGTCAGCAGGTGCCATCTTACAATACGATACAAACCACCAGGAAAACGACAATGGAAAACAAACAGAAAAACCCCTTCAGTACTAAAATGATTGGACAACTTCTACATATTCCATGGTATACAAAATTTAAATAAGGCTTAGCAAAAGTAAAAAGGACAGTCACATTCAAACACCAAATAGCTCCAACAGGTCTTTTTGTTACAAAAATGCTGCTCTTTATTAACACAGTCTTTTTTTTTTTTTTTTTTTTTTTTGCATACAAATAAAGAGTCATGTTATGAAATGTATGGAGCTACTCAATGCATCTGAAATGAATGTGAAACCCAGGAACTTGCTAAAAACAGCAAGCTTCATCTACAACGTAAGGCCCCAGCTATGTATTAAAAGGTATCTCGATGTCCTGATTACTTCTTAATATATACGCTGTGATGCCAAAATCTACCCCCCCCCTCCTTCCCACCAAAAAGCAAATTTAAAACCTCTCCCAATGCCTGATGCTCAACCAAGTAAAACTCAACCTAAGCCCTGGCTGTGTGCAGCCAAGTTAATATTCCTTTTTGTCTGAGAGCAGAGCTGGTGCAGGACAACAAAATGTGTGCTTCTTAGACTAGTGACTCACAGCAGAAAGGCCTGAGTTGAAGAGCAGGAGCAGGAGAAAATGCAGGAGCACAGACATCAGGATCACATGTGTTTATAGACCCCGCTCTACCCGGGGCGAAAACCCGACACACCCAGACACAGGCGAGGACGGCTGGCCTTCAGACAGGCGGACCCAGGAGGTGAAATGCCCACTGGGATGACCGTGACATGAACATGGCTAGCTCCGCGGTCTGGCCCCTTCCTGATGGAGGAGGGTTCTAAGTGCAGCAGTTAGAGAACTTCTCGCTTTGGATCTGGAAACACAGGCGGCCAGACACAGTCCTATCAACATCTCTGGCTACAAATGCACATAAGAACTCACAAGCTACGGTAGGTAGGGCTTTCTTGCATTACCACCTCTACTTAGGATGGTTTAACTTAGGAACACGTAGCCTCGAAAGAGTCTCTCAAACCACAGACAAACACATGTGGTGGATGCGCATAGACACGGACATGGGTGGATCTCTACTTTCACATACATAGGTTTTAACCATTTGCTTCATTACTACACATCATGATAAGTGGTAGAGCAAAAATCTTAATTTTTTTTTTTAAAGAAAAGCTGTCATAAATGACACAATCAGCAGCAAGGTTATAGACTCTACATCCCAAACCCAACACATGGCCAGATATTTACAGGGAAAATCCTTTTCCTCAACAACCCTCGGCTGTGAAGGTGTTTATTTCTTCTTGTTCACACACGATCTGGTAACAGCGTTCCCGGGGCAGGCATTTGGAAGAGGTCCCTTCTGTCCACTTCTCTCCCTCTCCCCTCCTCCTGCGGAGACTCCAGGCTCGGCCTGTGATGCTCCCACAGTGCTGGTTTCCAAAGGTAGTCAGGACTCAGTGACACGTTCCGGGCGGGTCCCCTGGGGTCCGCCCCCTTAGGAGGCCTTTTTGTGAGGGCTGCTCCGCAAGCTCTCTTTCCCCCGCCTCTGCCGGACCACAGAGTCCTTCTCGGAAGGGAGGGCGGCGGTGGGGCGGTCTGTGCCCGGTACGGGGGACGGCTTGGTCACTTCTCTGCCCGCATTCTGCTTCCTGGTCTGAGGCTGGGCCGGGGCCGGCTCTCTCTCTTTGGTTTCTCCTGGGGGGGCAGTTACTGAGAGGGCCCTGTCCCGGGGCCCGGCGCCCCACGCCGTGGTTGGGTTGGGGTGCTGTAACTCCACCGTGATGGAGGAGCTCCTGAAGGAGGGCAGGGAGTCGCTCTTTGTCATGTGGCTCCCAGCATCCCCCCCAGATGGGGGTTTCCTCTGGTCCCTGCAGCTGGGGGCTGTGGGCTCAGCCTTGGCCCCGCTGGCCTTGGCAGAGGCGGGGTCGCTGCCGGCCGTGGGGGCCTCTCGAGCCCCGGGCCTGGCCTCGGGAAAGCTGGAGGAGGTGCTCAGGCACTTCTCCGGGAGGGCGGCGGGCCGGAAGGAGCTCTGCCCGATGGCTGAGGGCGACCGCTTCATGCCACCAGGCTTGCCTGGCTCAGGTGGTGGCTTCTGGGCACTGAGGCCTTTCCCCTTGGCGTCTGGCGGGCCCTTTGCCCCGGCCCCCGTCGGCCTCTCTGTGCCCCTTGGCCTGGCCTCGCTCTGCATTGGGGGCAGGCTGGCCTCCAGCTTCCTGCCGTCCGTCGTCGTCGGACCATAAAGTGCTTCCATGCATTTCTTCCCTTCGGGCTTCCTGTCTGTGGCGGTGGTGGCCAGGGGACTGGGGCTCTTGTCCGTCTGTCTGCACGGCGGGGGGCCGTCTCTCACAGTGGGCGGTTTGGGGTGCTTTGGAGACAGGTTTAGCTTCTCACTGACAGTGGGGAGTTTCTGATCCGCAGACGCACCGGCCCCGGGGTGTGCTTGCCGGGGCAGATGCACAGGCCTCTCCGACGCCTCCAGGGCACACCCACCGTCTGTGGGCTTCAGCTTGGTGTCCAGGGGACCCCCTTTGGGGGGCATGGGGCCTGAGGACCCACTTCCTGCCTGGCCAGTCACAGGGCTGGCTGTGTTCTGGGAACCCAGGAGAGCAGGGTACACATTCAACACACCCTTACCGCTGCCCTTCCCGTCTTGGCCGGGGCCGCTGGGGGGCTGTGTGCCAGGCTCTCTGGCTACCGCAGCCCCAATGCCCAGCCTCTGAGAAGCGAGGGGACGGTCTGGATGCTTGGATTTTGCAGGGCTCGGGTCAGGGGCAGGCCCGGGCTTGTGGCTGCTCTCACCACGCACAGCCGCGGACCTGGGCGGATCCGGGAGGCCCAGGCTGGGTTCTGTGGTCCAGGGCTTGGTGCCCAGCTCTCTGCCTGGGGAGGGGCAGGGTGTGCTGCAGGGCTGCCAGGCGGGGCCGGGCGGGTCCTTGGTGCCCAGCTCTCTGCCTGAGGAAGGGCTGGGCGTGCTGCAGGGCTGCCGAGCCGGGCCGGGCGGGTCCTTAGTGACTGGTGGGGGCTGAGAGCCGCTGCTGTGCCGTGGCTGCAGCTGTTCTTTCCTCTCTGGTTCCCGGGGCTCATCTCTCTGCAAAGAAGGGAAACTGCGGAGCTTGTCACTCTTCCCGCCCTCGGGGGGCTGCAGAGACTGCCTGGCAGGAGGGGCTTCCGATGTGGGTTGCAGGATGCTCCTTCCCTTGCTCGGCTCCCGCTCACAAGGCGTCCCCGTGCCCACGGGGGGCAGAAAGGGGTCCTTGGCCAGAGGCCTCACCTCCTCCCGGCCATCCTGGTGGCCCGGTTTCCCGCAAGGGCCCCGGGCCTTCTCCGTGGCCAGGGCCTGTGTGTGGATGTCTGAGCGGGCTCCTCCCACGGACGGCAGATTTCCGTGGTCACTGGTTTTAGCAGCTTGTGGAGGACTCGGCTCCGGGGCAGGGTCTCTGCGGACGGCGGCCCTTGTGGCCTGCAGCTCTGTTCTGGCCGTGGAAGGGCCCCTCTCCGACGGCTCCCTCCCACCCGGCTTCTCCCGGGAGGGGACACCTTCGGGCAGGGGCGGGCCAGGGGCCCTGGATGGGTGGGCGCCACTCAGGGCCTGCCCCGGGGAGGGCAGGCCTTTGGTGTTGGAGCTGGAGCCAGGGTCTTGGCGTGCGCTGGGCCCGCCCTCTCTCCACTGGGGATCGTTTTCGGCGTCTGTGGCGGGGCTCCTGGTGGCCTGGGAGATGTCCCTGCCCGGCTTCAGCGCCGGGTCAGGCAGGGGAGCTGACGGTGAACTCTGGAGGCCACGGCTGGGGGGCAGGAACCGAGGCTCCAGCAGGTAGGATTTGCTCACCTTGAAGCCAGCAGGGGGGGACTCCCGCTGGCCAGCAGCGGCACCCTTCTTGCCATCGCTGGGGAGGGCGGGCGGCACGGTGGGCCCCAGGGCACCTCCGGGGCCGGAGCTCGGCGTGGGTCCCGGAGAAGGCAGCTCCGTCTTGGAGGCCTGAGGTCCGGACAGGAGAGCGATGTCCAACGTGCCCTCGATGGGCTTCAGGTAGGACACGGACCTCCCTTCCAGCTTATACTCGGAGGGGCTTTTCCGGACGGGGGCCTCGGGAGCCGCCGGGCCCTGCTTCTCCGCCCCACCGTCCCCCCGGCCGGCCAGGGCCTTGAGCGGGACGAACACCACGCCGCCCATCGGAGCCGCATGGGCGCCGCTGCCGAACGGCCGGCTCTCGGGGGCCGGCGCCTCCTGCTGCCCGCCCGCGGGCCGGACCGCGCTCCCGGGCGCGCCCTCGTGGGCGCCGGCTGGCATCTTGGGCTTGAGCGCCAGGCAGAGGCTGTCATCTTTGTCGTCCAGGGACACTTTCTTCCGGAGGTAGTCCACGCCGGCCAGCTTGCCGTCGAACTTTTCACACCGGAGGCCCTCCTTGGCCGGGGGAGCCTTGTCCACGGCGTCCCCCCTCCCAAAGGTGGGCCTGTCGCTGGAGGGACAGAGGCCGTCTGGAAGGGCGCTGGGCGCAGAGGCCGGTGTGCAGTCACCGGCGCCCTGGCTGAGGTCCACGGGGGCCTGGCCACGGCCAGCGGCTGCCCCGCCCGAGGTGCCCACTGGCTTGTGGAGGGCGCCTGGGCCCGGGGCCTCCTGCACAGCTGCTCTGTTCTCCAAAGGACCGGACCTCTCCAGGGCCTTGGGGTACATCTTCTTCTCCCTCTCCGCCAGCCTCCCCGCGGCGTGGTTTTCCGAATCGGTGCCGAGTGCGGGGTGGGCCGTGGGGTGGGGCTCCGGTTTCGCAGGGAGGCCGTCGGGCTTCTTCGCCACCACCTTGGCCTTCAGCTTGCCGCGGTCCAGGTCGTCCACGGACTCCTGGCGGCCCAGCTTGCGGGGGGCGGGCCGCTTCAGGCAGCCTTGCTCCACGGGCCTGGCCCGGCTCAGGGCCGGCGTGTCGCAGGCGGCGGCCTCCTCCAGGCTCTGCAGGGCGGCCTCCCGCGGGGACGGCTCCCGTGGCGGCGCCTCCTCCTGGGTCACCTCCAGGCTGTGCTTGCGGGAGCACAGGAGCTTCTTGTCGCCGCCGTAGGCCGGGGACAGCTTCTCCTCCGACTGCACGCGCTTGAGCAGCGGGGACCGCGGCGGCTCCGCGCTCTTGGGCCTCACGATGTGTCGGACGATGGTGGGAGGGGAGTGCATCTTGCCGGGAAAGGCTTGGGCGATCTTGGCATTGCCAAGCGGGGGTCCCAGCAGGGGGGACGGAGAGCGCTGCGGGGAGGTGGGCTGTGGCGTCGGAGAGGGGGTCCGGGCCAGCGGGGACAGCGGAATGTTGCCGGCGGACTTACGCCTTCCGGACCGGTAGCGCTGGCCGCTGAGCTTGGGGGCCAGGCCGTGGAGCGTGCTGGGCCGGATGTGTCCCGAGCCCGCCGGGGAGTTGGGGGCACTGGAACTTGGGGAGCTGCTCTGTGAGGAGTTAGTCCCTGGGGGTAGAAAACAGGACGCTGTGAGCAACTGGCCACCTTCCTTCTCTTTCCCTCCCTTCAGCCCAAACTGCTTCAGCTGAGGTCAGGTCAAGGTCAGCAAGCTGCCTCAGCATCCAACGCTAATGAATGAATGGATGCTTTTTGGATAAACCTCCCTACACTAAGTTTTAACCCAAGACTTCCTGTCTGATCTTAATGGTCCGAAGAGGCCTATCTTATGACCTCCAGCTTGGAATAATCCTCAGGGGTTTTGGGATTTAAGATGGTGACTTTGACCTCCTCTCAACTCTCCCTTGCGGTCCAGGCCAGGAGACTCACTCACCGGATGGGAAGTCGGGGGTGGAGCGGTAGCTGGGTGTGGGGGATCGGGGAGACAGGCTGTGCGTGGGGGACCCCGGGAGGCTCTCCCCGGACGACAGCGATCGGTTCAGGCAGGAGAAACTTCGGCTGGTGTGCAGCAGAGGAGAAGGCTGCTTCGCTAGTTTTTTGAAAAGGGACCTCCTCCTAGAGTGAAAACGAGAGAAAATGGATCAGATTCTATGCCCAGAGCCGCTCCTGCCTCCCCACAATTCCTCTGTGCCGGAGACGGGATATGATGGCAGATCCTATTAAAGAGTAGGACCCCACTGTGCAATCAAAAATATTTTGAGGACTTAGAAAGGAAGATAGTACATAATAGAAGCTCTCTGAATTCCAGTCACTTTAAGATGAGCTGGGGAAATACATTAAGTATATATCCATCTATTTACTTGTCAGGTTTATGAGGAGGGTGTTCTTTGCCCGAAGGCTTCTGAGTAGGTACCCCCCCCCCCCCCCCCCCCCGATGCTGACACCATTTCATTAAGAGATAATACCCAGTAAGTCTCCGGAGGAAAAAATCATCTCGGATACAGAATTCTTTACTGGTGACACCCTGGGCAGAGGCTTATCTGTGAGGGGCTGTTTGCTGGGCTTATCCCATTGTGGGCTCCTGACTATTCCTAATGACAGTGCGGGCTGTGCATTTCCATAGAAAAGCCGGGAAAGGTGAACGGAAGCTTATCATATCAGCAGGACAGCAGAGGCCACGCTGCAGCAGAAGCAAATGTATACTCAGTGCTCAGCCAGCACAGCCTGGAGCAGAAGGGGCAGCCCCCCATGGCCCAGAGGTGCAGGCGGCTGTGCAGGGCTCCCCACCCTCTGGCAAGCCTGACCCACCCCACCCCGGGGAGCGTAAGCAAGAAGTGCAAACACTGCTACCCCCGGAAACAATGAACTCTGTATGGCATACAGCACAAACAAAATAAAAGGCACACATGAGAAAGGGAGGATCTCAGAATGTATGTGTGTGTGTGTGTGTGTGTGTGTGTGTGTGTGTAATTTTAATAAAAGTAATGAGGGCACGTGGGTTAAAAAGCCAAACCTTTTTATACTAGTAAATGTATAATGAAAAAATAACAGCCCCTTCCTCTGCCTTTGTTTGCCCCCTCTCCAGAGACCAGGAGTGTGTCTTCTCCCATCTCATCAGTCTGTACATGGCCGAGCAGCGTGTTTACGTGCTTACGGTACTTTCTCGTGTTTCAGTCTCTGAGTTTCATTTCCTTTCCTGGACAGCTTTGTCTTTCCAGGGGTTGGTGAGCATCCCTTTCACACTGGCCTTTTCCTCCTACATTTCTATCACAAAAGCCCTCAGACTAGGATCAGCCACAGCAGATCCAGGAGGGGAGCGGAGAGCTGCTGCGGAGTCCTGCAGGGAGCACCCTGACACCTGCCTGGCAGGGACCGTCCCCCCAGGAACGGCTGCCGCATCGTGCATACGGCACAGAGCGGCACCCACCATGCCTCCCAGTCAGCCCCGGTCGCCGGGCCAGGTTTTCAGTCAGTAAGACAGACAGAGCCCTTTTACTTCTAGGCTTATTTGGATGCCCTTAAGATATAGTTATTTCAGAATACCTGGCAGTGAAAAAATACCAGCCCTTTTTAGATAGTGCAACGTACATTATTAGATGTAGATTTAATGTTAAGAAGTGCCTGAGGGTCCCGTTCCTCAAATCCAGCTCTCATGGAAGGAAGCCCAGAGGCTCAGGAAATACCCAAGGGCTTCTCAGAGCTCTCACACAGGAGCTAAAGCAACCTGAATCCCAACGGTTATGTTTACAACAACATGGCTATGTAAACTTTTCCACCATGAAAAATAATGCTATTATTAATATGAACTTTCATGTATAACTGTATGTGAACCACAGCATAAAAACCATTCATCTATAGCATTTAAATTAAGTAGGGAGCAACTCTCCTCCCACGTGGGTATCCACGGAGCTCCCAGAGAAGAACACATGCTTGAACTAACCGTTCCAGACTCTCTTTCTTCTTCGATTTCTTGCTCCGCCTCACCATCCGGCTCTTATAGCTGTTTCTCCTGGCTGGTCCCGTCTTGATTGATGTGTTCTCAAACGGGGTCGTAGTGATTGACACCTTATTCCCACTCTATTAAAAAAAAAAAAAAAAAAAAAGGTGGTGTTATAGGGAAATGCTGTAATAAAACAAGATGAGAACAGAGAAAGGAGGTTCAAACACAAAGATACTTAAGAACATACACACAAAAGGACCTCTGTTTCTAAATAACCCTTTAAGCAGTGAAGTCCTGGAGAATGCAAACTGGGTGGAGGCACAGTGGAAGGTTTCCTTAAGAGGGCCGGCTCTGATCTGAGTTCAAATACGAGCACTGGGACCTGAGCGGGCTGCTCCTCCTCCCTCGCCTCCACTTCCTGAGTCACACCTTCTCCCAGGGCTCCTCTGAGGACCACATGAAGGACAGAGTGGGTAGAGCTTCAGCCCCACTGTGACACCGGAAAGGCTCTATAAATAAGCAGCGCCATCAATATGGATGAAGCATAAATAATGTGCCCAGAGGCTGTCTCCTCGGTTGATTTACTTTTCTTTTTTCTCATGTTTGTGTTTTTCCTTTGACCTAGAAATCAAAGACTATCAAAATTGAACGAGACTTATTTTTTCATTATTTTAAAAGGTTCCTTTTCTATCACCATAAAACCTGTCAGCTTGCCGAGCTGGAAAGTTTGTGCCAGTGAGCAGCCTCTCTCCTCCCAGGCACGTGTGGTGAGGTCATCCCATGGGCCTCGTGCCCTTTCACCCAGTCCTGGGCAGGGGCTTCATAAAATATTTAAAACTTGCCCTGACCTGTTTGGCTCAGTGGATAGAGCGTTGGCCTGCGGACTCAAGGGTCCCAGGTTCAAATCCTGTCAAGGGCATGTACCTTGGTTGCGGGCACATCCCCAGTATAGTGTGTGCAGGAGGCAGCTGAATGATGTTTCTCTCTCATCGATGTTTCTAACTCTCTATCCCGCCTCTTCCACTCTGTAAAATATCAATAAAGTATATTTTAAAAAATATTTAAATCTTAAATTATTCTAACATCTAGTTGTTTTTTTTTCATTTCATATTATAAAACTTTGCTTTCATCACTGAATATTTAAGAGTGTATTATAATTGGCTATATCATAATATTCTGTGATGAAATATTCTATGAGATGGGTGGATCAAAATTAAACTATCTTACCACTGCTACTGCCTTCTACTTTTCAATTTATGTAAGAGTTGAATAAATGTCCTCGTCTGTATATCACTGTCCTAACCTCTGACATTTTCCTTTTACTGGGCAATTAGACTCCAGGCACTGAATCACGCGGCCTATCCGAACTTCTTAAAGACTGCCACGCAGACGGGTACACTATTTCCCAGAGAGCGTATGCCAGTTCACACTCTCGCCAGCAGCACTCGGGTACCTACCTGACCACAGGCCTGTCAGAACTGAATATTAACGCAACTGACCAATTTTATAGGAAAAAGTTATGTCAAGTTTTAATCTTCATTCCTTGACAATTAACAGGCTGAATGTTGTGTCATTGATCTTGGTCATCTGTGTCTCTTTAGGAAATGTTTTGTTCATGACTTACATCTAATTTAGTATTTGAGAGTCTTAGTATTTTGTTATTGATTTTAGAGTTCTTTTTTTTTTAATTAAGGTATTATATGTGTACATATCTTACCAACTCCCAGAGTTATGTAGTTAAGAATATATAAATCTCATACCTAATGCCATAATTATAAAACTGTTTTATGGAAATGGATTTGAAATTGAATGAGAAAACATTATTTTTCATTATCAAAGAATAAATTATATATTTTATATGCAAATGACAAAACTTTAAAAATAAACCTTTAACTGATAGTAGAGACTGGCATTCTATTTATATTTAAATGAAAAATTCTTGTACGTATGAAAGGTCTGCCAATGAAGGTTGTTTGGGGTATTCCTTCTCTTCACAAACTGAGTAAAAGCATACTAAAGATTTGTGTTTTCCTATGCCTGAGGTGAAGGAAAAGGGCAAACATATAGAGTTTGGAGATTATCTTTCATGGCAGTGTTTCCAATATTTCTCCACACTCACACACAGAGCGGACACACGGGGCCATTTGATCACTAGGGTGTTCTGTTGTATGGGCTACCAAATCCAGTCTGTCCTTTCCTATCATAATCAACGTCGACTTCTATGTCTTTATCTTGAAAAAGATAACAATGCCACCTGGTATCTTAAAAGTGCATTATGAATACTGAAGTATTTTTCACATATATTCTTTTACCAGGTCAAGAGGGTTATTTTTTTACAACCCTATGGGGTGCGAAGGGATTGTTATCCTTCCTTGCATTATAGAAAAGGAAGGCGGATTCACAGGCATTCATTCTTCCCAGGGTCACAGCGTCCAGTGCAAGAGCCCAGAGCTGGCTGTCTGACCTTCACCTCCACTGCCCACTCTGTCCCCGCAGAGAGCACGGCTTGTATAATACCTGAGGAAAAGTGGTGCAGGCCCTGACTGACTGACAGGAAGAACAATCATAGAATCAGACTGTCGAGAAGAAATTAAGGAGCTATAAACATATCATAAACAATTTAGAAAATAGAGTTATAACCAGAAATGCTTAACCAGAACACATCACTAGACTGTAGAAATGTCTCCTTTGCCTACGAAAATGTCTCCTTTGTCTCCTTGTTTCTACAAATGGCTATTCCAGAGGACAGTTCACCCGACTTATAGAAATACAATAAGAGTTAATGTCCCCAGATACAAAGATGCAGAATACCATTAGCTACTTAGAAACGTTAACAATTATGAGATTGACAAATGACTGGAAGATAGTAACTTTACAGAGAACAGGCAAGAAGTAGGAAGCCTGCCACCTGGTGGATGCATCGGCTACAGCGAGTGCTGCCTAAACTTGGCACAATGGAGCTAAGGGGTCAGTTCGTCCTCAATCCTGGATAGGTTCTGTTGGAGAATGAGCAACCTCTCACCAGAGAAATTCTGAGGTACTTGTTCAAAAATAACAACAACAGGGCCAGCAAACTGTTAAATGTTCAGTTAGTTCTCTTTTACTTCAAACCACTTGTGTGATTAGTGCACAGTGGGAGGGAAATTATTTCAGCTAATGGAACTGAGCACAGAGCAGAAGTCATCTACCCAATCTCTTCTCTCCATCTGGCTCCACACTAGTTATCTGTTGGCCCTGGGTACCTTGAGCTAGCCTGTTCTCCCACTTATTTCTTTGCAAAGTGCACATGGGGAACAGCATCTTCCTGCACAGCTGTGTCCTTCCCCTGATCCTCACCCTCCACAACCTGGTCCAGCCAGCTGCCCACTGCACCCCTTTCCTGAGCCCAGGCCCAGGCTCCAGCCACACTGGTGTGCTCCTGCACCTCTAGCACCTGAGCTCTCCTGTGTGTAATCCCCTTGTGATTTAATGCCCTCTTTTCGTATTGCCTCCCCTTCCCACACACTAAACACCAGCCTTCACAGCCCGTCACAAGGACCCTAACTCCTCACACTTGTCCACCTGGAGGAAGGCCATCACTCCCTCAGAACTGTTGCCTGGAATTGCCACTACCTCCCCTGGGAACATCAGACAGTAAGTCCTGGCCATCGAAGAACGTAATGGAGGAGCACTCTGGTGCGGTGCTGAAAGCAGGCTCCAGGCCCGCAGTGCCGGGTGCAAATCCTCTTCTGCTCCCTCCTGGCAGGCAAGCTTGGGCTGCTTGGCTAACACCTCTCTGCTGTATCTCTTCACCTATAGCAGGGGGCATTTATATTCAAAGTACCTACCTCCCAGGGAGTGGGGATTCCCTGAGCCTAGTCACCTACAGCACTACTCCCTATTACACTTGCTGGGGGGCCTTTGCAGTAGTTAGCACGAGGCTCTGCACATTTCAGGGCTCAGCAATTATGTGAGGGTGGTAATAATGAGGCTATTTGGTGGTCCCCACTTTAGTATCCAGAGGTTCCTCAGAGTTCATGCAAAGGAAAAGTCTGAAGTAGGGGCTGATGAGGTTTTATAGGGCTTCTCTTATGCATTGGGGATTTAAACTAATGCTATCCTAAGAAGGCAGCCTGGTTGAGAAGAGAGTTTCCTGAATTAAGAGAGGTTAGGCCAGGCAGGTTATCATGTGAGCCGGCAATAAGACTGGGTCAATACGGCCTCCACTGGCCACTACAGAGAGGCCATGAAACAAACATGGAACACACTAACCATGCTCACAGTCTGAACGATACGTAAATAGTGTGTTTCTAAATACACACACGCAGCCCTGTGTGATGGCTCTCCCTGCTTTTTCTAAGGGTGCATGAGCTTTTGTGAAGTAACCTGTGAGTATAAAACACCGCATAAACAGCATCCAAGAACAGCAAAGTTCAGCTCCCACACTGACGCCCTGCAGCGATGGCACGGAGGAGCCCCCCGTTGACACCAGACACTGTGCGCGTTGTCGAAGACTGCTGGGTGAATTTGGAAGAGAGCTGCATGATTACACAGTTCACTGGGAAGATAATTAAATCCCTGGTATCCTCTTTGTTTCGTTACACTGGCTACTCCTCTTGAGTGCTTCCTTTGTGAACAAGAGGCAGGATCTTCTGCTGGGATCTGTGACAGTGTGCATGGCTCTGAAGGGTGCCGACGGCTCTCCACTGCAGCATGTCTGCGCAGGCAGCAGGTGGCCTCAGAGAACACACTGACCAGGTGCAGGGATGGAAGCACCCTGTAACCAGGTGATATAGACAGAATTGTCTGATTCTGCTAAGAAACCTTGCCAAAGAAATGGATATCCAAGCTTCACCAAAGCAGAAAGAGAGGTTTTAAGACTCAGAATCCTGTTAGAATACTTTATCAAATAAATGATGAAAAGAATCAATTATGTCTCAGCATCTCTCCTACGGGCTGCTGTCAGGTCTGCTGTATGTTCAGCATACCCACAGCTGACTTCTAATATTTGCAATGCTCTCCTCATAGTCAGTCCTGTCCCTCTGGTGTAGCATGTGTTGGTGAGAAAGCTGGCTAGACTTAGAGGACGCCATGTGAGCATGGATGACAGTGAATCTAGCCCCCAGTCCAAGGGACACCTGAGCTAAGACAAATATCTCATTAATGCTGTGAATCAGTCAGTGACAATAACTCCTCTACAATCTGCTATGTCACACGGGACCCTTGAACATACATGCTATTCTACTCTCGGGACCTGGGCCAGACTCAGGGAATGACAAAGAAGGAGGAAAAAGGTCACTGAAGTGAACTTATTTCTGAAAGGCTTTCCACACCCACTTCCCTGTAATACCTCCCAAGTTCCTCATTTTTTTTTTTTAAGTTCCAGTTAAAGGTTATTTCCCTGTGATGCCTCTTCAATTCACAGAATGTTTTCTCCAAGAGTGTGAGAATCCTTCCCCTGCATAGTTAAGTTACTTGAATTTTATCCACTTACAGATCTTCCATACCCCTTGAGGGCAAGAATCAGACCTTAATTCCTGTGTTGCTACTGTCTCTAAGGTACCTGCTCTAAGAATGGCCCAAGTGCATGTTATCAAAATGGCAGGTACATGCACAAGCTTTCTCTCCATGAAAGCTGCAGTGTGGACTCACACCGCATGGCTGGCAGCCCCTTATGGTGCTCAGGGAGCAGGAGGTCACCTGAAAATCCATTAATCTGTAAAGCAATCCTACAACTAGGGACTCTGCACTCTCATTGCAGGAAAATTAGCCTTTGTTTCTGAACAAAATGTCACCTCAATCTCAAATTCACCTTTATTTGTTTTAATCAAATCCATGTTTGGAGCTAAAACTTGATATTCTTGTGTCAGCAGGTGGCAAAACAAAGGACTCGGAAAAGGGAAGAGGATCCGTGTAATATTCACTCTCCTCTCCTTTTGTGATTCCCATGACCTTCCTCCTCCCTGAGCTTTACTCAGTTTTGAACAGAAAACGATCTCTATGCAAAGTCATTTGCATGGAGGAAAGACCTGCTGGTTGTCAGAACCTATTCTTCCATTACACCCATGTATGTAATTGGTATGTTTCCATTCCCAATTCTGTCTTTCCGAGGAACCCAACTCTCAGGCTAACCTTTCAGATCAGATCCCATAGGTTTACACCACTCTGTCTTCCTCCATAGAATAAAACCTCCTGAATGTTCCTAAGCAAAATCACCTTTAGATGACTTCCAACCAGATTTTTTTTTTTTATGGGAAGTACATAAAACAAATTATTCTCTATAAAATAGGATAAGAAGCAACATTAAATTAGGGGGTGACTATGTAGATATTCATGATATAAAGCCAGAGAATGCTTATCTCCGTCTTTAACAATAAACCTGAGACTACTGAATAAGTCCTCAGTAACGAGCCTGCATGTGTAGGGTGTGCTGAAGAAGGACCCTAGAACTTAAGTATGTAATTCTTGGTACCAGTTCCTCCTGGCTCTGCCTTGTCTGTGTGGTTGTGACATAAAGACAGTACCTTCAGCAAGAGCTCTATCACTTCCGTGTGGACCAGTCCGTGCACCGGCTCTCCATTGACGTGTGTGATCAGGTCCCCGGCCTTCAGGCCCGCCTGGTAGGCTGGGCTTCCTTCTTCTACATTCTGAAGTCCAAAAGGAAAGGGGATATTTGTAAGAAAACAAATGACAACCCTAAGCCCACAGCTTCTAGTGCCAGACTATTCCGTGCTAAGTACCAAATGATCCTAAGCTCCGAAGAAGAAATAAAAAAAGGCATGGATACTGCTTCTATGGTTATCATCCTAAAACAGGGTAATTTCTACCTTTTCTTAAAAAAATTCAGGATATTATGAAGGTAGTTTTTGTCTTTTGTGTGTGTGTTTCTTTAAAGGTGGTAAAGAAAAAACACACACAGGAAAAACAAGAGCAAAAGAATAAAGAAGGATGGAAATAGATTGTCTTTGACCCTTTTTACTATCTTAGTACAAAGAGGAGACAATCAAATATAAAAACTGGACAGAACTATGAGAAAAGACTGTTCTGGCTAAATTCAATTTTGTCATATAGATAAAGGGAAAGAGCACTAAAGGAAAACAGAACAGGTCCCAAATATCAGCATAACAGAACATACACTGATTGGCCAGATTATTATGACCTCTGAATGCATAATAATCTGGCCACTCAGTGTATGAGACCTGGTGTATGAATTCATGAATGGGTGGGGTCCAGCCAGCCTTGCCAGGGGGATAAGACATGGGCAGTTGGACTGCCTGCCTGCTGGTTGAACTCCTGGTTGAGGGGACAATTTGCATATTAGCCTTTTATTATATAGGATATACCCTGAGTGGCCAGATTATTATGCATTCAGAGATCATAATAATCTGGCCACTCAGTGTGTATTTGCTGTTATGTTTGTCTCAGCCAAACTCACCCATTCCCATTTGGCTGGGGATAAAAAGCAACAAGGATGAGAGACTGCTGGCCTTACCCAAACGATGTGGTGCACCGTATAGACGTCACTGTCCCCCACGTACACCCGGATGGCGCGGATAGTGAACCCATAGTTCTTCCCTGAACTGTGGATGACCACGGGCTGGTGCGGACTGGCAGAGGCTGCCGACGAATCCCGGCTGGGAGAGGAGTCCCGTGAAGAAGAAGGGTCCGAGGACAGGGAGTGGGGAGACATTGGGCTCCCCAGTGGAGAAACAGCAAACATATCTGCAACAAAAGAGCATGTCATGAACACCGATGCTGATCGCACACGCATGCATGCAGCCAGCCAGCCCTCACCTCATCAGTCCTGCTGGGATTGGGAGTGTGCTTGCAAAACAAATGCATTCATTCCAACAGAAACATAAAGGAGAAATAATATAAAAATACTTCTATTGGTAAGCAGCATAGATTTCAAAACAGAGGTCTGCCAAGGAAACCTCGAAAGTGTCTGTATTTTAACTAGCTTTCATTTAATAAACTAAAGGTGAAATTTTTCTTAGTTCTCTATGCTAATAAACACACAGCCACAACTTAGCCACTAACTAGCTGTGATGCTATTTAATGCATTTTATTTTACTTAAAGAAACAACTCATAGATGCACACAGAGCAGACTGTGTGAACTAGAGTAAAAGATTCTCAGGCTCCAACTCCTGCCTGAAACAACTTTCACATGGTCCTTTTCAAACACCCATGGCCAGGAAAGGAAGTTGTAATTTCCCAGCTGTTTTTTCACATCATATTATTGAACTGGGACTGACTAAAACATTGAATCAAGAAAGCACTAAAATGGTAATTTTTAAAAATAAAAGAATCACTCCTTATTACTCTGGGTGTAAGTGATTCTCTTCCTGTATCACCTGCATTTCTAATCAGGTTTCTGAGAGGACAATGCAGGCAAAGCAGAGAAATTTGAAAAGAACTTGGTTTATATTCCAAAACACCAGTTCTGCTCTGTTTTCCTTGTTTTATAAGCAAACACCTTGTTCATATCATTGTTCCAGCCGTGTGAATCTAAACAGATTTCCACGGGTCATGCGAAGCTGTGCGTGTGTTTGAGAAGAAAAAGAATCTACAAGAGATGCTGCGGTTTCACTGTAAGCTCAGCGGGGGCGAGGCTACAGAACGCCACGCTGCGGGAGACACAGCAGGGTGGCCGGTCGCCATGCGGCCACAGGAAGCTGAGAGCATCCGTACCCTCACTCCTTCCCCTTCTGATGTCTGTCCAAAGCAGAGCAATGAGCTGCATGTGCCACTGTCCACGCCCCTTCACTCTCTGACCTCCTGTAGCCGCTTGGTGTGATTTTGCTGGCTCCCTTCCGTCTACTCAATAGACACACACTGGTGGGGAGGGACTTCAAAATATGCAAGCGAGAAGAGGACAGGGTGGATACGCAGATCCAAATGGATGGAAAGCCAGGCCTTGGAACAAGCATGTCCAACTGCGGCAGGCGGGCCGCACGCTTCTTTTAAAAGGCTGCTGGCCACGAGTTTGACATGCTTGCCTTGGATCCTTTACCTCATGAGGGTTTCCCTTATCCCCCCCGCAAGTTGAATAGTTTGCCCTACTTTACCCAGAGGCAGGCTTTCTCACCAGCTTCCAGAAGTGACTGGGCCACACCATACTTACCTTCCCAGCGGCAGCTGCACGGGGGCCACTGTCACATAAGCTAAAGGGGAAGCTAAATGGATGCTTCACGGAGCTAAATGGATGCCTCCCAGCAAACAGAATATGGTAAGGTGAGCGCTACCCCCAAAGGAGCATTTGTTTATATCTGGTTTCTTTCTGCACCAATTTTGAAAATGTAAACCATCTCTTTTTTACATAGTCTGGATTCTTCCACATGCAAGCCATCTGCCATAGAGTCCAACTGCCTCTTCCACTCTATCGGGCTGTCCATTGAATGATAAGCCACAACCACCATGAGGGCACATATCTCATCTCTGCCAGTGGAATTGCTACCGACTTAGTGACTACTAGAGGCAAAACCAAGTTGTGGAAAAGTACTGCAATTCAAGGAGATCACAATTAACCCCGGTTTTCTAATACAGGGCAGAAAATGATTTGACTACCAGTAGGAGGAAGCATCGCTCAACAGACAAGGCTGGGAAAACTTATAATTTCAGTGCTGTTTGTGACTCTTTGCATCCCAGACATAAAAAGAGGTATGTTTTCTCAGTCTATTTCCTCATTAATTAGATGAGGAAAACTAGACGTAGCTTTCCAACACAGATGCTGTAAACAGCTCTGTAAAGTATATAAATGATGCATAGTGTAGGGAAGAAAAATTATTCAGGAGGGGAATTTATCCCTTCATCTGGAAGGGGGAGAAAAGAAAAGGAAAGGAAACAAATAAAAAAATATATAAGGCTTTGCTGGAAAGGAAGGCTGCCTCCTCTCCTGATGCAGGAAGAAGGGAGAAGACCTGAGGCCCCATACTCTCTGGGAGCTTAGGGGCCTGCAGGGGGAGCTCTAGTGAGCTGGGCTGGGCTTATTTCTCCAAGCAGTCCTGTACCTCAGTCAGCATTCCACACTGGCAGAGGTGGGGGGCAGGGGGGGTGCATGCACAGACCACACAAGTTCATGCGAGCAGACACCGCGCTACCTCCTGGGATCATGAGGGACAGAGCACTGGCGGAAAGGGACTTGGTGACTTTCCCCGCGATTTTCTTTTTCTCTGTGCTTTCTAAGCGCTGCCGAGCCATATGGGAAACGGGTTCACTGGGTGGCTTGGAGGGATTATCTGTATTGTCCACACACTCGCTTCGTCCATTTATCTGATCCAAGTGCTCTGAAAAACTGCCAACTGCACAAAGAAGAAGGGATAAACACGTTCAAGAAAAGTTTGGGGGAGGAGAGGAGGGGAAAGGGGAAGAGAGAGAGAGAGAGAGAGAGAAGGAGAAGAAGGATAAATGCTGGGAAACATACTCTCACGTGTCTCTTGATCCAGACGGTGTCGGCAAACATCAAAAACACAACTGGTTTGAGAAAGGTGATGTGGAGAGGAAAGACAAAAGGGATTTCATTCTACTTGAATATGCCTGCTCACACTAATGGCTCCATTTGAGTAGAATCATTCCTTTCTAGAATTTGTATTTCACCTTGTAGAGGTGACTCTGCCCCCTCCACCATGTTATGGAGCAAGCATCACCTTTATGCACACCACGACCACCTACTGTATACAGTTTTCTGACAGCGATGGTCCTCACGAGGAATGCTGGCCATGACGGTTTCTGATATCTGGACATCATTTAATCACGTCATGCAGATGCAAGCCCGTGTCACCTCCCACCATCTTCCTAGTGCATACCTCACACTAGGCTTAGGTGTGCAACTTACAAAAGTACCTAAAGTGTCTCCTTTGACTCCTCACCCCTGTCCCTCTAAGCTCCTTGCTCATTTCATAGGACAAGGCAAAGGGTATCACTGGCTACGTTACTCAGTGGTCACTACACGATCACTGCTGTCGGCCAGGTGACTGCACGGTCCGGAAGTAAAAATGTTCTTGCTCAGAGTGAGGTGCTGAGGCCCCCAGAGGGAAGTTCCGTGGCCACCCTGGTCTCTGTTCCTCTTTCTTTCACAGTGTTTTTTTGCTTTTGTGTGTGTGTGTTTTTATTTTTATTTTTAAAACCACTGATGCTATTATCTTGTTGTTTTCCCCGCAGAAAAATAAATGCTTATTGCATTTTTACTTCTAAATGCTAAATTGTGAGCCTGTGCTTTAATAAATCATTCAAACTATCATCACCTTAAGATATCTAATCCATATAGAGAGTTTAATACCATTATAAATGATCTTTTGAAAGACCAGCCAGCACATTTTAAAGTGCTGACCACAGGACATCCTCTGCCTTGAAAAGTGCTGCACTAACTTAGACTTCTAACATTTCTGACACAGTGCTACCTACACGCCACTCAACTGCACAGCTGAAGTCCGGACCGAGGTTACGGGAGGTAGCACGGACTCCAGAAGGAGGTGCAAGCTAAGGGGGTACTCCAGAACCTGGGGTTTGGGAGAGTGGGCTAGGGCCCAGCACTGTCCGTGGCCACCTACTGTGCGTGGGTACAGGAAAAGATGCATGGACCTCCATGCGACACCCATCTGACTGACAAAGGAAGACAATCTTAAGGCAAATAACAACAGTCTTTCTTTATGCCAAACTCAGTCTTGCTTAACAGTGTATCAGTTCCATTCATTCTATTGCTGAAGGACTTGATAAAAACTGCTTCACAAATCAAAAATCTCATCTCCACAACCTCAAGCTTACTTCGGGGAAGGTACACACTCTCCCTTCTCCTTTCTGATTTGGTTTGGATAAGATCACTGACGAGTATAAAAGGAAAAGCTGAATCCCTGGACGATGAATACTTTGTTGGGTGCCACAAAGTACTACTTCAGAACTTCTACATTTTTTTCTGATTCAGGTACAATGTAGCCATGAGAAAAGAGAAACCGGTGTGAGCTGTCCTTCCCTAAAGGCCAGAGTGTGAACAGTGTCCCTCAACCCTCTCTCCTCTCGCCTCACCATCACATTTCACAGCACGGCACCGCGCACGTGCTTCCACTCTGCCAACAGCGGATAATGTCACCTTAATGTTCTAGAAATGTCAAGGGTTCTTTCTTCTTGATGGTGGAGCAATATGAAAATCAACAAATTTAATTTTCCTGCAGTCACGGCTTTCAGGTTCCCTAATTACCCTTGGCTATGAGCAAATCAGCTCATCTCTCTATTCTGTGCAGCCCCCAAGGTCTTTGATTATTTTTAGTGAGTGTCTGGGGGAGCCAGAGAGGAAGGTGGTTTGAATCTATTAATCAAAATGCATGGCAGGACCTAGGCATATTTTTTTTTTAATTATGAAAGTCATCTATCAAATGCTTAGACACCATTCTCCTCCCTTTACCTCCTACCTTTCTGATAGTGAGGAGGCTGAAGAGACTAAGAGATCATCAGCAATTCACCATATTAAGAATAAATTTTAAATGGCAGTACATATACTCTATTCAGAGGAAGAAAATAAACTTAGAAATAAATACAGACCTTAGTAACTGAAAATATAAAATACTGAGTTGATTACCAAGGTGAACTAAAAATGGTCAGGGATCCTAGATTACTATGTTGTTTCTACACTACAAATACACTGCTATTCTCTTGGCTTTATAGGATTTGGACAAGTGGAATTATCCTAATGCCGTGGTCGGCAAACTGTGGCTCGAGAGCCACACGCGGCTCTTTGGCCCCTTGAGTATGGCTCTTTCACAATATACCACAGCCTAGGTGAGTCTATTTTGAAGAAGTGGTGTTAGAAGAAGTTTAAGTTTAAAAAATTTGGCTCTCAAAAGAAATTTCAATGGTTGTATTGTTGATATTTGGCTCTGTGAACTAATGAGTTTGCCGACCACTGTCCTAATGGAAACAGAGCTAAGGTGACTAGGGGAAAGAAAAACCCCACCTTAGTTTCCCCCATGATAAACTATAAGTAGATATGAAGCTCCTCTATAGAACCAATTTTTTTTTCTTACTTAATGAATTTATTGGAGCAACATTGGTTAATAAAATAATACAGGTATCAGGTGTACATTTCTATAATACATCATCTGTACATTGTATTGTGTGTTTTCCACTCCAAGTCAAGTCTCCTTCCTAGACCCAAACTTTTTAATGAGGCTCAATTAAACCCACCAAAGAAGTTTGTTTTCTTAAAAACAATTTTCTAAAATTTACACTAAGAATATTTAGTTAGTTTAAAAAAATGTTCATGAAAAATCTTGGAATCATTTATGGTTAGCAACATAACATTTTGAATATGGCTGAATGAAAACATTTATGACAGCAACCCTAAGCCACATCCATGTTTTTTTTTTGTTTGTTTTTTTTAAAGAATAAGTGCACATTGCTCTGTAGAAGGATATGCCATGCATAAAATTTTTATAAACCAAATAATATTTTAAATTCACCTTCAGAGCTTGCTCTGAGGGAAGTGTACGTTTGATTATCTAATGAGGACGCCTCCGTTTTTGAGGGCCAGCAAGTATCTACGCTACAGTGAACATCAAAAACACACAGGAGGACGCCATTCCTGTTGCCAGGGAGCTCACTTCACACAAAGGCAAGGTGATCAAGTGCTTCCATGGACAAGGCCACGCCTCTGGGCTGCCTCCCAAACAGCCCAAGTTGCCTCTGGAGTTCCTTACTCTAGGCACCAGGCTGGGAAGGCAACTTCTGCCTGCACTGGGGCTGCTTCCCCTGCGCATAAAGCACAGTCTGGTTGGTATTTCTAACTCCCCTGCTCCCTGGGGCCCAGGCGCAGGAAAGCCATCCTGCATCTCCCAGCTGTAAGTGCCCAGCTGCGCTGGCTCAGAGTCTAGTACAGAGAGCTAACTACTGGGTTTGGTCGCTTCACAAAAACCACTGCCATCTCATCTACCTATTTCAACTCAAGGGGGAAACTGGCTTCTGTTCTACTGCCTTACAGGTGATTTAGGACATCTTTTAGGGTAGCTCTGACCATTTGACTATCTGATATTGTCCCTTACTCCTAACCATGAGGTAGATGCAATTCCCCAAGACGTGCCTTTGCAATTCCCCAGGACATGCTCTCCTGGTAGGTCCAGACCATCACCACGGACCCAGCTGTGGAAGCTGAAACAGGCTCTCAGCTGAAGCTGAAGTGAGAATGGTTTGCTGCATGGCCATGCACTCAGGAGGGTCTGACACATCTCAGTTCTTAGAGCTCATCCCCCAAGCCCAAGAAATTAGAGTCTACTAACATGAAACAGCATCACCCCCACCTGGCTAGGCCAGCCCCAGGATGAGGGGGTGATGTTTGGGTGGCAGGCCCCACCCCAGGGCTTACCTGACAGGGTGGAGCTGCTGATGGTGCTGGCTGGGGTGGTGACCTCAGGCTCCTCCTGAGCGCACTCGGCAGGAAGAAGGGCTGGCTTCTCCGGCTCCTCGTGGAGGTCGCCGGGGCAGGGAGCAGCCGCATCGGGCTCTGTCTCGGCTGAAACAGCCAGTTTGGGAAGCAGGCCAGAACTGAGCTTGTGTCTGTTGCTTTCCGTGTCTGAAGAGTTGGATGTGGATAACTGTTGCCTTAATTGAAAACAAAAACAGAGTCATGAGTACGTACATACCCAGACACTGTTCGAGGTGAGTGTGTAAGAAACCAGGTATGTATGGAAGTCAGAGAAGTCTAATGAAGACATGTCCAGTGCAGTGGTTCTCAAAGTGTGGCCTCCAAGCCTGCAGCATGGACATCACCTAGGAATGGGCCAGAGATTCACCCTCTCTGGTCCCTCTATCCTTCTCCCTCCCCACCAGGGTCTAGGGCTGTGGTCGGCAAACTGTGGCTCGAGAGTGTGGCCCCTTGAGTGTGGCTCTTCCACAAAATACCACGGCCTGGGCGAGTCTATTTTGAAAAAGTGGCTTTAGAAGAAGTTTAAGTTTAAAAAATCTGGCTCTCAAATGAAATTTCAATGGTTGTACTGTTGATATTTGGCTCTGTTGACTAATGAGTTTGCCGACCACTGGTCTAGGGGATCAGACAAAGGCCTCCTGGTGACTCCGATGCACACTCAGGTTTAGAACTACAGCTCTAGTAGCTGCTGCTTGTATTTCTTAACGGGCATTTCACATACATTTCCGAATATTCCGAACTCCAGCTTAACGTTTCCGTGGATGGCAAAGTGGTGCTTTTGGTTTTGTCCCCAGGGTCTTCCTTCTCTTCGCCTGCATTCTGAGTTATCCGGTCTATGCTGCTGAAAACCTGGAGGTTAAAGAGTCAGTGCTTATTAATATCTTCTTGACTTTGTCAGAAAAAATCTCAGGAGCAAACCCTGAGAACATGACTAAAGCATGAATTGGGACTGTGTCCAGGAGGTACTTTCCAATGCTGTTTACTGGGTCCTGAGATGAATGGTCAACCTGTAACTTTTTTTCTCTTTTGGAGTGGAGAGCTATGGATGCATCAATCTCTCACCATACCTGGAATAAACTTTGTAGCTGCAAACAGAGTCCATAGATGCATTGGGATTTCTAAGCCTGGGGATCGATGCACACCTTAGATTACTTTTTAACCATGAAGTCAATTGGAAAAAAAGAGAACCAGAGAAAAAGATTTAATGGCCACCAGTTAGGGCTGGGAAGAAGAAAAATGAATTGGAATTGAGTGTGAAGAGAAGGATAAATGACTTGTTTCAGATGCGTGTGGGGTGGGGGGAATTCAGTCCATATTTGGTTGCGAGTCAGGGATATTTGTTTGGCTTATAAATGACATGCACAGTCAGGCAGCTTCCTATGTTGGTACTGGGATTTCTGAAGGAGATCAGAACTGAGGCAAACTGGAGACCTCTGCTGACCCACAGGGAAGATGGAAGACAACCATGGAAGCTGGGAGCCCAGCCAAGCAGGCACTGCCTACAGCCCAGCTCAGCCTTTTGCCACTCTCCTGGGAAGGGCTCTTACATCATCTACCTTCACTGGGGTCAGGAGGAGAGTGGCTAAGAACAGGAGACAGCAGGAAGGAAGCAGAGTGGAGGCGCTGGCTTTGATGGGCAGAGGACAGGTGCTGGGAAAAGTCAGCACTCAGTGATATCAATGCTCGGGTCCTGGCTCCGTGCACACCTGCCACCATGCCCTCCAGGATGATCCCCACCTCTCCGCCTGCTTTCTATAAATAGGAGGGCTGTGCTGGCCCCTTTGCCGGTGCAGTCTTGGTAGTCACTTAGGAAAAGGTACGGAACACTAAAATCACTAAATGCTACAGAAGAGCTAAACAGCATTCATGCAAAATGCCAATGCCAAGGCAAAGGCACAGCTCCCGGAAACAGCAAAGGGAGGCAGGTGCCTTCTAGGTCCTTGTCCATCTTCCCAGGGTCCCACTGCCCTGTCTCGGAAATACCAGGTTTCTTTGTTTTGATTGCTTGTTTTAATCTTACCACTATGGGGGGGGGGGGGGGGGAGAAGGGCAGCGTCTTTCTCAAACACCAATTTTATCATCTTTGATCATTTCCAAAATTCTAGCTTAACTTTTAAAAAATATATATTTTATTGATTTTTTACAGAGAGAAAGAGAGAGGGATAGAGAGTTAGAAACATCAATGAGAGAGAATCATCGATCAGCTGCCTCTTGCACACACCCCCTACTGGGGATGTGCCCGCAACCAAGGTACATGCCCTTGATCGGAATTGAACCTGGGACCTTTCAGTCTGTAGGCCAATGCTCTAACCTTTGAGTCAAACTGGTTTCAGCTAGCTTAACTTTTAACTGCCACTTTAATATAACTTACATTTTCTTTTTTTTTCTTTTTTTTAAAAATATATTTTATTGATTTTGTACAGAGAGGAAGGGAGAGCGATAGAGAGTTAGAAACATCGATGAGAGAGAATCATCGATCAGCTGCCTCTTGCACACCCCCTACTGGGGATATGCCTGCAACCAACGTACATGCCCTTGACCAGAATCGAACCTGGGACCCTTCAGTCCCCAAGCCGACGCTCTATCCATTGAGCCAAACTGGTTTTGGCAACTTACATTTTCTATTACTGGTTACCAGGCTTTCTTATTCCACAATCAACCGCCCCCAAGGGTCTTAGCTTATGTCAAGGACTAAGCCTTCTCCTTTGAATTTTAATCCATACAACTCAAAGGAGAAGGCTCTGCATACACTGAGCCCAACATTCTTCATTTATTACAACATGCAATAAATGGGTGGGTGCCTCCACAGCCTGGCACTGAGCCACACCAGGGCACGCAAGGCAAAGTCAGCATACACATAGCTCCACTGCACTCCACTGATGACTAGGCGTGGCAAGTCTGTGCCTCCAATAAAAAAAAGGTATAAATTTATGGAGAATGAAGCTAAGAAATATACTCCTGAGGGGTAGGGACTCTGGATTATCAAGATGGTGGGGTCACTTTTGCTAAACTAAAAGGAATTTTAAGTACAGGAGACCCCAAGCTCCAAAATACTGTGGGTGGTTTTGACAACTGTGCCCAACTGTTTAGGAGTACCACACATCTGGCCAGTGGCAGTGTCCCTCAGAGAGAACCTGGGTATTTGTGCCAGAGTTCACTTACCTTTGAGAACCTATGCGAGCAGGAGGAAAACTGCCTTATTTCCACGTTGAAGTCTTCATCATTGGTGTCGTCTTCTTCCTCCGTCTCCATGTGGTGATACTTCTCTGACCGAGCTGCAAGAAACGTTTGGAAACAGTTCCTGTTACTCAGAATTTCAGCTTTCAATGTCGGTCTTTTAATGATTCGCTTCTGTACCAGAGCAACCTTTTGTGTAAGAACTCGTGGGTTCTAGACTGGAAGGTCCTATGACAAGTAGAGATAATTTCCTGCAATGTTTTATGTCAGGTAATACACGTACTGTCAAAATAACTCGTGTCATCTTCAGATTCCAGCTGGGGAATAAATTCCGCCTTCTGTCTCAGCAAACTGTTCCAGTCTAAGGATCGGAAGAAGCGATGCTGTTTGACCTCATATGCGCCACCTGAGGTGGGGAGACGTGGGGGACAGAAGCGAAAGGGTTAAACTCTCATCCAAGTAAAGGGAAACACGTGTTTTTAAGAACAACACTCCCTCCTTTCCTCACCCCACCCCCCACGCCCCAAAACCAACAGAGAATGTATAATGTCATGGAAATCTTATTTTCTCATTGTTCAAGCAAAACACCTCCAAATTCCCCCCACACTTTATCAGCAGATTTGATGTTGCTAAAAGCAGCTGCCCTGGCATGGTTCTTCATTGTTAACTTTTTCCAGGGCTTCTTCCATTTTTCAAAGGTTAATGATGTGGCCACTTAAAATCACATTAAGCTGAACCTGGGGAAATGGACGCATGTTGGCCCCAAGCACACTTGCTCATTACAAAGCCACAGAAATTCTAACAAGGCACAAAATGTGTTCACAGCAATATTTACCCCAGAGGTTTGGTTAATAAAGATGAATTTTCCCCTAAATAGTATATAATGGTTACCATTCAATTTTATTGGATTGCTCATTAACATAGGTAGGAATTACATTCTGTGGATTACAGGTTCTTAACTAAGAAACAGGAAGATACGTAGGTTTATAGTGCAGTGAATGAAAATCTATCACTATTCCTAAGTTTTAGGCTTCTTTTTTGCCAACTCAGCATGATAGTACGATTCAGTGAAATAATGTTTTTAATTCAGTTCATAATTTCAAAGGGTGATTTTGAAGGGCAGGTCCCATCAAAATATCACGCTATGCCCATGTGAAGGAAAAGAAGGTGCACATGCTATAAAGTCAGAGTACAAGAACAAGGCCGCTGGCTGCCACAAACACATACACTGTTTGGTGGTAAGGGACAGAAGGCAGCATGTACCCTGAAAAACCACCCGGAAGACAGAGATTCTCCCAAGACTGATGCCAGGGTCTAGCCAGCCTCCCTGCCAGGAGATGCCCCTCTGGGTGTGATGTCAATGCTTCGCTGATGCACGTGTCTCCCATGCTTCTCCTCTTGTCCTCAGGGGACCACAGGAGGAGCAGAATGGGGAACGCAAGGTGGATGAACAATGGGTGTGGGCCTTGGAGTGGGGGAGCTGTCTGCATGGTTCCAATGCGGGTCTGTCCCCAGCAGTCCCCTCCGGGCCACAGTGCAGGTCAGACCTCTAAACCCAGCCAGGGAAGCTAGGCTTCTGAAAACCACGGTGTAGAGAGAAAAGAGCAGAGGAGGGTGAATCACCCCCCCAATAGGGGGAAATGGGTTCTTCTTTACAAAGCATTTGCGTAGAGTCTTCATCCAGGTCGCAGGTGGGCCTTCCCCGTGCTCGCAACACAACCCTGAAGTTGGATGCTGATGACAACAGCTAAGTACCAGCAGCATCACCAGAGGGCTGACAAGCACTGCACCGGAGACCAGAGGCACTGCGCCTCCTTTAACCCGTCACTGAAAGTAACCCCCACAGGAGGCACCATCCACTCCGTTTGTGGGTAGGGAAACTAAGAATAAGCGACAGGCATCCTGGACCACGATCCCCTGAGAATAAGCATTAGAGGACTGGATGAGGTCTGACTAAAAACACCCACATCCACCTTCTGTGCCATAAGCCATAGGTCATACAAGGGGGAGGTGTGTTTTAGTTCAGATCCTGCCCTGCCCTCTTTCTTGTCTTGCTTTGCAGATGGATTCACAACTGCCAATCCTGGAGATCGGAGCCAAAGAGCCCCTTCCTGGGGCTGCTGTCACGGGGCCTTTACACAGTCCAACTCCAGGCCTCCATGCACCCGGCTCTGATCACTGTCTGGAATGCAGCTGCCAGAGACATTTTCTTTCAGTGCTCCCATCTTGGGGAAGTTAAAGGGCTTAAACAGCCATCTATCCAACTTCCTCAGTGGGTCAAGGACAACCTCCTCGTTGTTGGTCCACAGAGTCAAGCCCTACTTCGTGGTCACCACACATCCCACTACAACGACCATCATTCAGCTGCTCTCATATGGCCACACCAAATGGCAGCTCCGATTTACCCAGAACAGCACAACTCCCTGAGCCAAGGGCTCAAACGGCACTTCTGAACCACGTCCAGAGTGTCTGCTTTTCACTCCCCTGCCTGCTACCCTTTGGAGCACAAGCTGGTGAGAGTATAAGACAAACGGGTCTTCCCCGATGAGTCAGCCGATTGCTGACTCAGCTCACACTTCTCACCCTTTGGCCTTTGTGCCCCAAGAGAAGGTTGCTATCGATGGGTCTTGTTTCTCATCAATGTTTGGAGAGATGAGGAACAAAACAATGAAAAGGACACACTGAGGGGAAAGGGGGATTATCTCTCAGCTAAACTGTTGGCACAATAAGGGTGATGGCATTATGAGCCAAATGCAAATCATCAGACATGGGACTCATGCAAATGACGCTCTCCTAAGAATTCATCAGGTAGAGAAGTGAAACCGATCACAAGGTTAATGTACTAGATACCTTCACCAACACGTTTGCATTTAGTCCTCACAAAACCTTGTGAGGTATATAACGTGCCCCTTTTATAGATTAGAAAACTGAGATTTCGGGCAATGAAGAAACCATTCCAGACCTCCAGTACATGGTGGGGGGTCATGGTACATGGGTAGAATTCAGTCACATCTGAGCAGCTCTAAAATCCAATGAGCCAGGCTGCCTCTCAACACTCAACACTCTATAAGTTTAAAAGTCCAGTTCAGTTCAAGTTCCCGAATTGCAAGTTATGCCTTGGCACTAATGTTCTCCCTTGGGTGTTTCTCTTCTTTCATGCAAGTTTCTTAAACATCCATTATGTTCTTCACACTGCTTTTCTCAGCCTCTCTAGTCTCCTGGGCAAATGTGCATTTGCACATTTTCACGGTGCATTATTTTTCCCGCTAGATATGCATTAAATCCAAAATGCTGTCACTGGAAGCAGCATGGCAAGCCTGAGGGACTCTTAGCCTCTCCCTTTGAGCCCTGCTGGAAGCAAATGTCTCCTTTGAGCTTGTGCTAGGAGATTTGTTTCCCAAATTGTCAAAACGAATAGACAAAAAGTAGCAGTCAAGAAGAAAATGTGCAGAGAGAGAACTTGCAGCATGTGATATACAAACATGGATGTGCTGACCATCACCATAGTCCTGTCTCGCTAAATCAAGGGCAATCAAGAAACCAAGTATGCTTAGAGGGAAATGGGCAAATTACTACTGGGGAAAACTCCAACTGACGTGAACACTGAAGGGGACTCTTCAGAGAGGGTGGGCTGATTCTAGTATAATTTTAGTTACCTAGGACAACAGTTCTCTGGGACACTTGCTTGAGAGTAGAGATAGGTATGTGCATTGTTGCTTCTCCAATGAGTAAAAATCACTCCTCAATACCCTGTTCCACACGAAGCCCTGACACCAGTTCTTTGACAGCTACTCTTATCTTTTGAACCATAAAGCACATCTGTTTACAGGTCGCACAGGGAAATAACAAGTTTGCTAGTCACTTCAGAGAAGAGGAAAACCTGACAGAGAGAGAAGGTAAAAGACATTCACAGAGTTCAATCAGCTCAAAGGTTGGGGAGAGGGGCCACCATTTCTTTATCCCATGTGTCCAAAGAGGAAAGCATGAGATGAAAACAACATGCCAGCAGTGGGAATGTCCTCAAGGTTCTATTATTATCCTTGCAATAATCCCTTGAAGTGCTATTACATGCTTCATTTTATAGGTGAGGACACAGAAGGGGAAACAAATAGCCCATGGTCACTCAGCTGAAATTTATAATTATTTATTGGTGGATTGGTGTGCGTTTTTTTATTTTTGTTTTTTTTGAAGAAAGAGAGAAACATTGATTTGTTGTTCACCTTGTTTAGGCACCTATTGGTTGATTCTTGTATGCACCATGACTGAGAACTGAACCCAAAACCTTGGCGAGTCAGGATGATGCTCTAACCAACTGACTACCTGACTCAATCTGTCAAACTCAAAGATAGATTGAGTTTAAATTTCAGCTGAAATTTAAACTCAATCTGTCTCCAGCCTTTGTGCCCTTACCTTCATTGATGCTACTCTTCCTAGTTTAAGGCACACTCATCCACTGAAAAAGGCAAAGTGAAATAAGCCAGGCAGTGAAAGAAAAATACCACATGGTCTCACTCATTTATGGATAATAATAAATGAGTGAGACCATGTGGTATTTTTCATTGGGTTATAATAAAGAACATTATAACCCAATGAAAAAAAATAGATACAAAGACAGAGGAGCATCGAAAAGACTGTCAAATCACAGCAGGAAGGCTGGGGAGTATTGGGAAGTGGTGGTAAGAGACCAACCGAAGGACCTGTATGCATGTATATAAGCACAACCAATGGACACAAAGACACTGGGGGATGGGGGAGGGGTGGAGGAGGAGGGAGGGGAAGCTGGGGGAAGATCAATGGGGGAAAAAATGGAGACATATGTACTACTATTTGTAATACTTTAAACAATAAAATTAAATTAAAAAGAAAAAGGCAAAGGGGCTCAGCCGATATGGCTCAGTGGGTGAGCATCGACTTATGAACCAGGAGGTCATGTTCAATTCCCAGTCAGGGCTTATGCTAGAGTTATAGGCTCAATCCTCAGTGGGGGGCATGCAGGAGGCAGCCAATTGATGATTCTATCTTTCTATCCCTCTCCCTTCCTCTCTCTCTAAGAATCAAGCAAAGGAGCACATGGGACTCCAGTGAGAGATTCAACTCAAAATGGTTTTCCCAATTGAGCCCTGATTTTAAATTTTGATTCTCTAACTCAGAGTCTGTAAGATTTTTCTGTAAAGAGCCAAATAGGAAATATTTTAGGCTTTATGGGCCATCTAGTCTGTCATGACTATTCAACTTTGCCACGACAGCATGAAGGCAGCCACAAACAATGTGAATGAATGACATCGCTGTGTTTCAATAAATCTTTATTTACAAAATAAAGATTTGGCTTATGAGTTTTAATGAATCATCATAAACTCTGGAGGTATAGCTTTAATTACTTCAGCAAGAACAGAACTCTCCAACTAGAAAAGTTATGGGCAAATGTGGGGAACAATGTGAGATAAATATTTGGAGCTGTTGCAAAATTATTTTTGTCCTGAAAAAAAAGGAGAGAGAGACTCATTTCTTCCATGTTTTCTGATATTCCTATTAAAATGCAGTAGAATGAAATAGCTCAGTAAACAACCCATCAAGCCAACTTTTACTGCTGGAAATCGTGTGTGTGTGTATGTGTTTATATTCAATATTTAGTCTCATCTATAAAAATCTGCATAGTGAGGTGGGCTGGGACTCTATATTGGGATCTCTAAGTCTGTCTATTCAGAATATAAGGAAGAAAAGGAAAAGAGGAAGCAGAAATAAAAATAAAAAAAAACTGGTGGCACAACTGTCAGAGAAAATAATCAGCAACTAACAAATCCATTATCGCCTTAACCTTGAAAGTCCACAGTTTTCTATTCTCTTTCTTTGGCCTTGCACTGATCACCACGATGGCACCGCGTGGTCCAATCCCACGCACTCCTTTCCAGTGATCAGTTCAAAGCCTGTAGATAACAACACGCTGGGTCCAATCCTTCTGGGAATATAAATTTTTTTTTAAAACTCCAAACAAAAAAGCTGGACATCTCTAATCCTTTGATTTGAATTATTTTCACATGCTTTTCAGGCTGAAGGGTGACATGAACTTTGAAGTTTTTCTTGCAGAGAGATTTTATTCATTGAAACAAAGTAAGAATAATTTCTGCTTTGCAACAACAACAAAAACAAACAAGCACCATCACCCCATGCTCCTAGTGTATGTACTGCTCTGAGTCAGGAAAAAATGCAGAATACTATTGTTATAATGTGTTGTGGTCATGTTCTACATCAACTAACAGATGTTTCCTATGCAAAAAAAAAAAAAAAGAGGGACAAACACAAACCTCTGAGAGTTCCACACAGACATTATTTCTTGCATATTAGCCAAATTAAAGCACATGTGCTCTAACCTGTTCCCAGTCTCTCCAGGGGGTTCTGCCTGAGCAGCAAGGTGATCAGATCTTGGGCGTCTGGCGGTGGCGCCTCATCCTTCTCAGGCCAGTTGATCTCATCTAGGAGAAAGAGAAGTCGTTTACAAGTTGATTGCTCAACTGGTGGTCCATGTCCCAGCACATGGACATCCACTGGGAGACTGTTAGAAAAGCAGGCTTTCGCCGAGATCGGTTTGGCTCAATGGATAGAGCGTCAGCTTGGGGACTGAAGGGTCCCGGGTTCGATTCCGGTCAAGGGCATGTACCTTGGTTGCGGGCATATCCCCAGTAGGGGGTGTGCAAGAGGCAGCTGATCGATGACTCTCTCTCATCGATGTTTCTAACTCTCTATCTCTCTCCCTTCCTCTCTGTACAAAATCAATAAAATATATTTAAAAAAAAATAAAAAAATAAAAATAAAAAAGAAAGGCAGGCTTTCGGGCCCCACCCCAGAGCCACAGAATCAGAGAGAGCATGTTAACAGGCTCTCTGTTGATTCCTAGGCTCAGGCAAGTTTTAGAAGCATGTTTCACAAGACATGAAGAGCACAGCTTTCAGCAAGGCAGGGAGACACTACTCAATAAGCGGTATCTTGGTTGAGCAATGTCCCATGCATGGAAAGGTCAATGGTTCAATTCCCAGTCAGGGCACATGCCCAGGTTGTGGGTTCAATCCCAGGTAGGGGTACATACGGGAAGCAACCAATTGATGTTTCTCTCTCCCCCGCTCCCTTCCTCTCTCTAAAATTAATAAAAACATTAAAAAAATAAGTGGCATCTTTCCTTCACCTTTTTGACTCATATTTCTTTGGTGAAATTGGTTCACAATAAATTGCTCTTTCTAGTTATGACAAGGATGTCATAGAGTGGCAACTCTAAACACCTGCACCCACTCAGGGATGATCTAAGTAAGGTTTTCTCTCCTACTATCCTCAGCCAAAGAGTTCTGCAGCTCCAAGAAGCAAAAAGTAATTTCGTAAATACAACTATTTCCAGAGACAAAGGAAAGGTCCAAATGCTAATGTCAAAAGGAGAAAAACAAGTTCAAAGTAATCATAGTCGTGGAAGTATTTAAAATCTGTCATAAATATTAGACTATGTTCTACATTCTAAAGGCGTTTGCCTAGAGATAGGTAGGCATACTTGTGTGTATGGAAATGCAATAAAAACATGAGTTATTTCTGTGTGTGCCTGCCTCTAGCTTCCTCTGCCGCAGTTTAAATCTGATTTGAAAAAGAAAACATGAATATGCATCTGAGCCGTAAGGCATGGAGAACAAAGCCAGCATTTGCTGCTTGTGTTAATTAAACAGTTGATTCCTCTTGCCATTCAGGCCTTGGAATGTCAGAAAACAGCCTAGTTATAAATCCATAAACAGCTCAGATATTGCATAAAAGGGTTATTCACTGCAGGCGACTCACAAATCTACTTTGTTAAAGTTTACAAATATGCCTGACTTGCAAAGTCAATGACAGAAAATAATGCTGTGGTTAAAGGGCTCCAAAATTAATTTCCTCGTGTTCCCATGGCTGGATCCCATAAATGCAATCCAGAATGGACCAGAGGTAGGGATACCAGTAATGACTGACAAACTTTCAGAAAATAGGCCTTTTTGGTCTATGGTTAGAGGAAATTTATAAACATAGCAGGTAGGGTAGTAATAGAGCCTATTTAATTATCATTTAGTTTTGCCAGGAGCCACATCATAATAGTTAGGGTCAGCTTGCAGGTTAAGATCTAAAGGTTATTGAATTTTAAATGAAAGATGAACAGCTGTTGCAGAAATAACATTACGCCATAATAACTACCAATGAAATCATTAACAATCTGTGGATTAAATTTGCCTCCTTCCCATTCTCATTATTTATTATTTGGTAGACATTTGTTTTAGGATTTATTACATTTTTGTTAATTTCTTCGTTGTGCCTTTAGCCATTTTTTCCCATTTATGTAACTGTTACCCACATTAACCTTCTCTTCCCGGGTGCAACTTTGCTATAATGGAAAGGAAGACCGGACAGCAATGGGCTCATTTGCAAGTCCCACACCAATTTCTTTTGCAGAAAAAGCACACCATAAACATCAGTTACATTGCCAGTACATTTCCAAATTCCATGTTAACAAAACTTCCTCAGATCCATTTTCAACCCAAATCTCTCTCTTGATATTGTGAAAGCCAGTTATTTGTGATGATGAGTGAGTTCTCTTAATCTGTTGGCTAAATTGTTTGACAAAGGTTAACATTTTAGTAGTCAATTCAGCGATACTTCATAAAATTACATTCAATAGCTGCTTCCCAACAGGGGCTTCAAAATAACTCCTGATGATATTTACCACTGATGACTTGTCCAAATAGCTCTTCTGGAGTGTCCCCAAAGAATGGCACGCATCCAACCAGAAATTCATAGAGGATAATGCCCATGGCCCACCAGTCCACAGGCTTTCCGTAACCCTGCCTCAGAATCACTTCTGGGGCAATGTATTCAGGTGTGCCGCAGACCTAAAAGATGATTGCAATATCAGAATAATTGGTAATATTGGATGTAAATTAAAATGAGCAGCAGGGCCAAACATCAATTATTTTGCCCAGAGTGCACCTGCTCAAGCACATGGAACCACATGGACAAAGAACGTAAAAACAGCACTGATAAGTTGGCATCCCTAATACCAAGGGCAGTAATTCCTGTAAATAAAGGGACGGTTTACAATTCTATTCTAATGTCAAACTATCTGTAACGTGCCATTTCAAACAAATCGCTTGACCCTGTTTGGTGGCTTTACCTATTTTACAATATTAAACACATCTATAATCCTTAAATGTAAAATCATGTCTTTTTTTATCTGTCAATCTCAGAGATAGTTTTAGCATTTGCATGGCCCAAATATATTCACATCCTGGTTACTTTATAAAAGCGTGACAGTTGAGATGTGTTTACCGTAACTTTACAATGAACAGATTGTGGGCACATGGTAATGAGGCATGCTTAAAGGGAAATGGGCCATGGCTCAGATTTTAGCACCCGTGATTGCACGATGCATCATGAGCTTCACGAGTACTCTACTGAGACTCCTGAATTCCTCACAAAAACAGCTCTCCATTTGTCTCTCTCACACTCCTACTTGTGTGCAATTAGGCCGTTCATCTTGCTAATAGACCATAATGTAGGGGGAGGGATGTGGAGGAACGGACAGTTCAAAGAGGCCCACAGAGAAAAATGGAGGCAATTTGCACTTTATTAAATGTAAGGCCTATACAGACATCTAAACCCTCAGCACTGATGCTGATTCCAAAATTCACTGGCAATACCGCACTCTGTGTTTCTCTGTAGACCCGAATAGCATGCAAGCTTACCTGTTTGTCTAGGAACTCGCGAGCATCCTTCTCAATATGACCCTCATAAAGATTGGTAGTCATGCTCATCAGTCCCACCTTGGATAATCCAAAATCTGTCAGCTTGATGTGCCCCATGGAGGTGACCAACAAACTACAAAGCAGAGAGACATACATTACAATACTCACTTTGCAGCTCATTCTGTTTTTTTTTTTTTTTCTTTTTACTCTCTCCCTTTTCTTGTCAATTGTAAGACTATTTAGTATATATGTGTCAACCTTATGAGAAATCCAGCCTGGGAAGAGACAAAGTCACAGGAAGATGTCAGATATTTGCATCTGGCAGCTGAGTGGAATTCACAAGGGAAGGCCAGAGACCAGGCCCAGCTGATCTTTGCTGGAGCAGCCACGAACACTATCATCTACAACCTGAAACTCTCAGAAAATTCCAGTGTGGAACTCTGACATCTACTTTTTTCAGAGTAAGAAAACAGAAGAGAAAGGGCTACAATAATATACCATGTCACACATCAGGAACTAAGATAAGCAACCCATCTGTACTCAAATGAGACCTAAGATAAGGAGCTGGGACTGGAAAATGTAGCATTGTTTCAGATTTCAACTTCTGAGTTAAATTTACATTTCTATGCATTAGCACAAAACCTACATTTCTTATACATGCATCACATTCACATCTGACAGCTTTATGAATTTATATTTTTAAAGTTTTTCATTTTAGAGAAAAATTAAAGTGTTAATTAACATTTTATAGGAACAGAGGAGTTGGGGTAAAAAAGCTACTAAAAGCAAATATGATAAAATTCTAATAGTTGTCTTTGCTCAGTAATGCTGTGCATTACTAAAAATATATAAAGAAAATTTTTTTTCCTCTTTTCAAGTTTTCTGCAATAAATAAACCTATGTTAAATTTATCATTCGACTTTCTGCGCACATAAAAGCTATACATATTAACATGTAATGCATTTAGAGGCTCTTCAAATATGAAGAAAGCATGAAACATTTAATAACTGGCATCGAGATGAATAACTAGTCATTTGGAGAAAAATGGTCTATCTATGTCTCAAGTCAGATACCATAATGAACTCTACATAGATTTTAAAATTTTACATCCAATTATGAATAAAATAGAATAGAATATCAAGCAAATCACCATTCAGTACAAAAGGATTACGTAAGCATGATACCAAATGCAGAAACTATCCAGAAAACTAGTAGCAGCATCTGTAGTTATTCACTAGTTTATAGACTAAAGCCTTTCAAAAAATTAACTAACCCTGATTAAAGTCATCTTTTTCTTTTGTTTCTTATAAGCTATTATTATAAGCATCACAGCTTTAAAGGATTATACCATATATACTTTAAAATAACTCATTTGGACACATTATGGGAGGATTTTATAATGTGTAAAATAGTATTAAAAAAATAGTTTTATAGACCTAAGGAAATTTTTATATTGTGGTTAAAAAAAAAAAGATATATTTCATCAGTCCACATACTTGTCTGGTTTCAAATCCCTGTGAACTATTCCATAATTGTGCAGATATTCCAAGGCCAGGACCGTCTCAGCAAAGTACATCCGGGCCATATCCACGGGGAGAGGACCCATGTTCTTCATTAAGGTGGCACAGTCACCCCCTAGGAAACACAAGGAAGAGACTGATCAGGTATAGCCTTGGCCAGGATTGAAGAAGACCAGCCGTTTAGTCTTCGAATTTTCAAAGCAGAATGGCCTTTACCCACAGACACAGCATATCACATTCACAGGTGGAGACTGTGTTAAGTAACCATGCTTCTCATTAAGATGTGGTGTGGAGAAAATACAGATTTTTATTCAAGAAACAGTACTCTGAAGAGAGCAGGTTTGGCTCTGATGTGGAGTTGAAAACTGAAAAACTGCTAGCGTAATTTTAGGAACATGGTGACAATTTAAAATATGCCCGTGAAGACCACAGATTCTGGAATCTGGCTGCCTGAGTTCAATCCTAGCCTCTGAGTAGGCAGATCTTAGAGAAACTCCTCTTGGTTCTTTTATCAGTAATATCAGGGTAGTAACAGTGTCACTCCTCCCAGGATTATTGTGAAGATTAAGTGAGACAATCTATGTAAAGATTTGAGGATATTGCCAACACACATTGAACACATGATAAATGGTAGTTGTTAAAATAACCACAACAAAGGTTAATAAAGCAAAGTACTGGTATGGGAAAACACCAATGGGTAGTATTCAGACAAGCTATATTTTTGTTTTATATCTACACCGAATATCTAGTAAGTCTCCCCACTTCTTGGGTTTCAGTTCATTCATCGGCAAAAGGAAATAGTTGAACTAAAAGATATTTAAGATTTCTTTCAGTTTTATAGTTTCGGGATTCTGTTCAAACAATTACAAGAGCTTAAATTAATTCTTTAAACATTGCTTTGGCCCTTGCTTAATAAAATTAGTTTTATTAACTGTGTATGTCAACAAGTGACTGAGAAATGAGTCACAGTGACAGCACTGGCTGGTGTGGCTCAGTTTGTTGAGCATCCTCCCATGTACCAAAGGGTTGCTGGTTTGATTCCCAGGAAGGGTGCATCCCCAGGTTGTCAGTTCAATCCTAGGTGGGGTGTGTATGTGGTAACTGATCCAAGTTTCTCTCTCACATCCATGTTTCCCTCACGTCAATGTTTCTCTCTCTCCCTCTCAATTTATCACTCTCTCTAAAATCAATAAAAAACATTTTTTTTTACAAGGTCACAGTGACAGAAGTGATCCAAGGCTGGGCTTCTGTCAGCTCACTGGGAAGTGAGAAAAGGGGGCTTTGGAGACAGGATCCAGGGGGTTATCTGGGATGAGCTGCCACTGTCCATTGCTCCCTGCTTGCAAGTCTCCTGGGGCCCCTCAGTGTTCAGGAGATGCAGGCCTGTGGGGGCAGATCTGTAGAGAAAGGTGGGGGCATGCTCCCAGGAGGGAGAATGCAGAAAGGATGTACTTTTAATTAATTCTTTAAGAGATCAATTGTAATGAATACTGTCACGATATGTGATAAAAGAAGAAACAATCCATCAACTATATTCTAAATTTAATGACTAAATGAGAGGAGATAATAAGAATTAAAAGCTATTAAAAAAAAAAAAAAGAACAACCACCTTTTCCCAAATAGCACTAAATTCCCCTTTGTTATGGTAGAGCAGGCTCTTTACAAGTAATTATCACAAGATAATGACTGAGACACAGCCATCTCCTTGCCCGGCTCTGGTTCCTGGGTGGACACAGCTATGATGTCACCCAAACATAGAGAGCTTCAGCCACACCGACAAGCAAGGCGTCTCGGCCCAGGGGTCATGTTCTCCGTGTCAGGCTGCCTTACCTTCCACGTACTCCATGACCATGCACAGGTGGCGCCTGGTTTCGAAGGAGCAGTACATGCTGACCACAAAGGGGTTCTCCGCGAACGTCAGGATATCCCGCTCCACGAAGGCCTGCTGGACCTGGTTCCGGAGGAGGAGGTTCTGCTTATTGATCTTCTTCATGGCGAAGCGCTGCCGGGACTCCTTATGCCGGACGAAGTAGACTGCCCTGAAAAGGAGCGTGAGAGTTGGGGTTCACAGGAAGACAGGGTGCTTCTGAGCACAGTAACCAGGTGGTCAGGTACTCTATTTCAGTCCACATGCCAGGCGGAGTTCAACTCCCACAAGCTACACTGGCTGCTACCAACATCCGTTCCAAGCCAAGTGCCTTTGGCTGGTTTGATTTATTTTATTTTATTTTATTCCTTCAATAAAGATCACAGGTCATAAATAAGACATCAAATCCATCTTCACTGCTGAAGGAAGGAAAAGTCTCCAGAGTGGGCTATTTTCCAATAGCTACCTGATGTTTTCAGTTCCACAAACAAAACAAAATCCAATATAGAAGTCAGAACAGGAGAGAATTAACAAAAGCACATACAGATCATGAGAGCAAGATCCTTCCTGACATTAGAAACCTGTTAGGCATTTTTCCTCCCCTGACTACAGAAAATATTTTTTATGTGATACCCTTGGAATCTTAGCTTTTTAAAGTAATAGGCTTCCCACTAGAGAGATCTTTACCTCCTAGATTGATGAAGAGTGTATAACAGGTCAACTAATGCTGTTCAGCAGCAAAGAATTGTATATTTACTCACTGCAAACCTTGGCATGAGAAACACCTGTGCCTGGTTCAACAGGAAATGCATTTCCCAACGCAAAAAGGAGCCAATAATCACTGACTTCTGCCCCATCCAACCTCTAGCCGAGGTGTCAGGCAACTTTATGGTAAAATTGGTAGGCTGCATTGAATCGGTGCCAACAGCCTCACTAAAATACTCTATAGGAGGGACTGATGGACTTTCCACATATTCCAAGACCTTGCACTGGACTCCCTGAGGTTTGAACGTTGTAGAAAAAGGGAATAATTAGGAGGAGTCTTACTAGTAAACCCCACCTGGAAATGATGAGCAATGAGGAAGAGGCTTTGGACCAACTCCTTTTCTCATTAGCTTCTCCTCACGTGTCATTACTGTGAGAGCACAGACTTGAACTCCCAGGTTAGGTAATGCTCAGATAGGTAATAATTTACCAAAAGAGCCATCACTTGTTAGAATTGTGTAACAGGTCACATGAGGCTACCCTGCTATAAATGCAATGATCAAATAAGTCGTAATTTATCTAAAAGCAATCAATCACAGCACAGTATATCCAATGGTCCGCCTCCTGAAACAAGGGGTCATCTGATCTGAGGTGCATTTTCCACTACTTATGTTCACTGTCAGTGAAATGAATATAGGGGAACTAAGACACCCTATGTTCTTGCTTAGGCCATACAACAGGGTGGTCCACTGACATGAATCTTAAGTTTATTCCATTTCAATTTAATCAAAGTTCACATTTCCCCCTTAATTGTTCAACCAGGAAATCATTTTTCTTTCAAGTATGTGTATCTCTATTTTTGTCTTCTCTTTGTATCCATCTTTTCCTTTCATTCACAAAAATCACACTTTTTATTTTGATCTCTGTTTAAACATTATTTTTTTCTTTACACAGAAGCTGGCTCACTAGGTGCTCATGCTTTCCCCGTGGGCTGCATCAGGACCACATCAGGATGCCCCCAAACCCAAGCTCCCACTAGCTGGGCTGACTTTCACATCAGTTTTTCTGGCTAGGCTTGATATCATGATTAACTAATGTAAAAAAATATTTAGATGGATGAAACAGGAGGGTGAGAAGGAAAAGCATCACTGTTTATAAGAAAACTATAGAGGCATGGTGCACAAAATTTGTGCACTGAGGGGGGTTGTCCCTCAGCCCGGCCTGCGCCCCCTCACAGTCTGGGACCCCTTGGGGGATGTCTGCCTGCCAGTTTGTGGCTGGATGGCATTTTGCTGCTGCACAGCCTGCTGCATGAGCTTCAGCAGCTGCTGCATGTGCACGAACTGGGCCACCCCAGTCCATCCTGTGAATCCATCGAGTGGGTAGGTCAAGCATGGAGGCAGGCTCAACCTGAGTTCCCTGTGCTTCCCTGAGTCACTGAGTTTTTCAGACTGATTGCCTTCTAGAGAGAACGGCACTGGGATCGGGCCTAAGCCGGCAGTCGGACATCCCTCTCGTAGTCTGGCAAGTGGCCAGGGAGGAGCCCAAATTGAGGCCAGGCATTGCTTTGCTCATGCTCATCTTGGCTTGCTGTGCCTGCTGCTAGTGCTAGGTAATGATGCCTTGGAGTCAGGAGAGGCTCCCTCCATGGCAGCTGCACTTGCCAGCTGTGAGCCTGGCTTCTGGCCAAGCTGCACTCCTCCTGTGGAAGCGCACTGACCACCAGGGGGCAGCTCCTTCATTGAGCGTCTTCCCCATGGTGGTCAGTGCACATCACAGTGACCAATTATTTGCCTAATGGTTGCTTAAGGCTTTTATTATATGGGTTAAATAGAATGTTTTGGAAAGAGAGTATAAATATAATTTCTATTGCTTTAGTATGGGTGAAAAGATTTCCGAAATTAAGAAAATAATAAAAATCTAGGTTCTTACATTCAGTTTGCTTCAAGTTCTTCATCTTTAAAGAAGTTTAAGTTGGAAAAAAGAAGTAATGTATAAGTGTGTTTATAGTGGCTGTCATAAAAAAAAACCTTCACATCAAAAGACTAGTAAATTCACATATATTTAGGTTAAGTTAAAATGTTTAAAATACATGTCATTTATTAATGATTTCCTACTTTGATCAACTTTTTAGTTAACCAACCCACTACTCATTCTTTCTAAATCAGATTAAAGGCTTTTCTTTTTTCGACTACTGATTGAATAAAATAAAAAATCCAAAGAAAACCTGAGCTTTGCCTAACAGATGCTGGGAGAAGGACAGACAGATGCATGGCTGCCTAGGAGATAACTTGGCCTTCCCTTCGGTGTAAGACAAGCACCAGTAATCAAACGCTGCCATGAAGAGGAGTTTTTGAAATAGTTAATGAAATTTGGAAATCAAAATGTTAAAAGAAAGATAGCATCCTTATATTATCACTTGCCTATCCAGGAGAGTAATTGTAATAGAGCTTACTTTCCACCTCTCCTTTCAATATTTAATTCTGAGCAGGCTTTGGTGCTGAGGACCCAGACATGTGACATCACTAACTCCACTGCTGGCCTCTCAGAAGGCTGCTATTTTGATTTTCTGTCAAGCATCACCATTTCTTCCATGAGTAACTGTTCAGCTGTGTGTCTGAGAGCAACAGGGAGCAGAGGAAGAAGAATGGAGGTGTACACAATTTTATGAAAGAGCAGAAGAGAGTGCTGCCTCAGGCCCCACGTCACGGCCATCCAGACCAGGTTTTTGGTGGCACTGTGTGAAAAATGGCTGCAACCTTTCTTCTCAGATTTTGAGTTCATAATGATTGGTTTGACTTTCTGCTTTCCCTTGCTATGATGTGCTGAAAATGATCAGCTAATCCTTAGGAAATGGACCCAAACCAAGTGAAATTAATCCTTTAGGCAGCTTGAGCTATCTCTGCCTCAGGACACACGTATCTTGATCAAGTTGCAAAAGTCAACTAGACTTCTTAATTAGAATTTCTTTTGTCTTATGTTCTTCATTTTTACGTGTCTGTACTGCTTTAGGATGATTATTTCTTAGTGCTGACATTTATTTAATAATAATCAATATCTTTCACATACACCTTTCTGGTTAATCAAGGTTCCAACTCTAAGTAAGGAGAAAGAGAGTGAGAGTGAGAGTGAGAGTGAGAGAGAGGGAAAGAGAGATTGAAAAAGAGAAACAAAGAGAGTCAGATAGTAATCAATAGACAGATAATCTAACAGTGTTAAGCAGAGCTGTAAATCTCCCTAGATGATAACACTGGAGTGAAGTGATTCAGCCCCACACCCCTTTGCTTTCTGGCCCCAAGGTAGTTTTCTTTGAAAAGGCTGCATCTCTCTTTTCCTACACTGACCTCCCTGTGAAATAGGAAAATTTAAGGGTGGGAAGTGATGTGGAGAGCAGGGATGCCTGGGGCCTGGGTTCTCTCTGGGCCAAGCTCCGCGCCACTCGTGCAGAACTGAGGTGTGTGTTGGGGGATGGAATCAGATGCTGACAGGATCTGGAGCAGAATGAATCCGTCCTATCAGGAGTGTGAATGTCTGATGCGTATATTCCTGAATCCGAGAGCCTGGGGCGTGAGTCTGTACACGCAAAGCTGCACGTGGGAATGGGAGTGGAGGTGTTGGAGGAAAGCTGAGAGGAAAGGCTGGGGGGAGAGTGTGCGGCAGTGAGGCACTTGTCACAGGGCACATCTCCTGACCTTTGAGGTTAAAAGAGAACAACTGTGTCAAGGCTAGAAGGAAAGCAAAGTGGGGGAGAATCGTGCCTTTCAAGTTTAGTGTTTTTTACTCTTTAGAATTTTCAGTCAATTTTATGCTTTCACTTTATAAACATTTAAAGTTGTAATTTACAAACCCAAGTGCAAGTGCTCAACTGAAGACTTCAACACCACAATTAAGATGACCAGAACCACCTGAATCCCTTCTCTCAGCCTGCACAAAAACACTTCATGTCCGGAAACAGCTCTGCTCGGGGTCAGTGCCCATGACCTTGCCCCGGCCCCTCCCACCCCGGCCAAGAGGAAGTAACATCAATTGCCCACAGGCTCCTGTGGGAGACAACATAGATCAGGAAACAGGATGACATGGCACACACTGAGCATTGGCTTTCTACTAAGTAGCCACACTGACAAGAAGGGATGTTTAATTTCCAGTCAGGCAGTCAAGCTGTTAAACAGAGAAGGAAATCAGATGCTTATCAAATTAGCAAGTTGGTTTTATGATATGAATTGTCACTAAGCAGGATGCTGAAAAACCCAGGACATGTTTTAGCACAACATGTAGGAAGAAGCTCTTCCTAATGAGAGGATTAGTTCTCAGCACATCCAGTTCTCAAAATCAGTGTCACTGTGAGTCACTGACGTGAAAGCAACACTGTCACAGCGGTGTCTACTAAAACCTCCCTCTGAGGGTCCACTTGTTAAGCAGCCAGAGAAGCCTGCAATCAGCCCTTTGGGTGGACCAATGGGCATAGCTCCATTCAAATTCAAATGAGAAATAATTATTACTTTAAAAAAATCTGTCAAAAATGTAATGAGAGATTAAATCTGAGAAGAGCCAAAGAGGAAAGAAAGTTTTTTGTTGTTGCTGTTGTGTTTGTTTTTATATTTTACTGATTTATTAGAGAGAGGGATAGAGAGTTAGAAACATCGATGAGAGAGAATCATGGATCAGCAGCCTCCTGCATATCCCCCATTGGGGATGTGCCCGCAACCATGGAACATGCCCTTGACCAGAATCGAACCCGGGAACCTTCAGTCCGCAAGCCAACTCTATCCACTGAGCCAAACTGGTTTTGACAGAAAGAAAGTTTTAGTTGATTAAGAGAGGCTCCTACAGGCAGCTTGTGAGCACATTAATGACTTGGCCTGCATCCTGGATGTTTACTGATTCATAGCTTGTTTAACTTCTTGTATATTCCCGGCCATTCCCCAAAGTGTGATATACCTCATCTACTATACAGGGATTTAACTGCACTACAAATGAGTTTACTCAACCAATTAGAACTCCAAATACTGCTAAAATCTATGCCCACGTTACATAAAAACGGTACTTCACAGATCATATTATTCCAGAATTCCACTGCCAATTAAACCTAGCAGTGCTCAAACCATCAACCCATTAAATCAAAGTCCAGCCTTCTCCCCAATGAAGGACAAAATCCTAATAGGGTCCCCAAAACTAAAACAACAAACAATACCCACAAATAACTGCATGCTAAAATAATCTTCTTAAGTTTCAATGAGATTCTTGAAGGACAGAAAGTATCCAAAAACAAACAAACCTCACAAGAGAGCATTTATAAGCCACATCAGGAAATATGCCACTTGACATATCCTGAAAGCAAATCAGTGAAGCATAGGAAAGACCACAAATATTTTTTTTCACTAAGTTAATGGTGTGGAAAATATTAGAGGTAAAAAAAAAAAAATGTAAGGAGAAACATCCCTTGTGGCACAACAAAAATCACCTTTATCTCATCTGCTCATGTATGTGATAAATGGCAATAAATGTCTAGGAGATTGTTTATTGCTTTCCATATACAGATGGAACTGGGATTAATACTAATTAAACTAGAGTTCTTGGGCCATCTAAAATGGATCAGGACCTAGTTTGTGTATTAATTACCCTTTTAAACTATTTATTAGAAACTCAGAAGGATCATGTCACTATTGACCCTTTGCCATGAGAATAAAGTCTCATGTCTATAAACATGAACTAAGAAAGAGGGACCAGTAATGTCATCAGATTTTATAACACAGTGTTTAACTGAAAAACAATCCTGGTGTAATATAAAGACTCAAAGAAATATACTGCTCTTAATTTTCAACCAACCTTTCTATTTAAATACTTCTCTACTAGGTTGAATGCTGGTCAGAGAGGCAGTACTGGTTAATTCTCAAGCAGGAATGCTATATGTTAATTTAGACATATTCAGACATATTTATTTTTATTCAGATGCTAATATATATATATTCAGATACATATCCTCTTATATAATAAAAGGGTAATATGCAAATTGTCCCTTCGACCGGGAGCTTGATTAGAGTTTGACCAGGGGGCGGGGCAGGGCTGGCCTGCCAACTACCTGCAGCCCCTCCCTCTAGCCTACATGGCAATCGGGGCTGGTAGGCTGAACCCTACCCGTGCACAAATTTGTGCACTAGGCCTCTAGTATACTATATCTAGGTGTGTATGTGTGTGGGTATCTAAACACATATTCATTCATAAATCTATTTCAACCAAGAGACTGTTACTTCTGAACCCAAAAGGGCAGAGTAAAGGAGGCAGAAACAGGCATATACCTATATAATATTTCTTTTATTTTATATAAATCTTTACTTTTGAATTTATCTTTTCTGATTCTCTAAAATAACTCTCAGGCTGCCTGATATGTTTTCTGATGAAGTATCCAGTAAAAAATGATTTTTGCTACATATTATACCTATCAATGAATAAGCAGTGATGTAAAAACTAAAGTCCCTATAATCATCTATTTGTCATAAGCTAAAGGTGAAGAATACGTACTTTAATGTGTTAAAATACAACAGTTTCCTTTAATTACTCACCCATAGGCTCCATTGCTAATCAATTTGATCGTTTCAAAATCACTTTCCCGAGGTTTCCTTCGAAGTTTCAAGGAAGCATTTGAGCTCTTGGAAACAAAATATGGAAGTTAAAAAATAGTTGAGAATTCAAGAACATAGCCAAATCAGTAATATTTTAATTACATGCTCTGTTGTTTAATATTTTGAAGAGCCGTATTCTAGCAGAGGAACCTGAAGGACAGCTTCAAAGATCCATTTTCTAGAGCAGTATCTAAGTTTCACTTAAGTGCACCACATTTCCAGGAGCTGAAGGCATTAAGTTTTTGAAAATTCCCAATTTTATTTCACTTCTATTAACTATTCAGGTTAGCCTTGTCCTAGTCTTTTAAAGTTCGAGATTTAAGTTCCTTCTGGCTTTAGTTGGCCAGGAAAGAACTAGGCTAGCGTGGCTGTCCTTGGGCCGCAGATGCTGTGTTTTCTCTGTCCCCGACCAGAGCACAGCTATTTCATTTCTGTGGCAGCCTTTCTTGCTTGGAAAAGGTGGTCGGCAACCAATGGGACACCCAAACATAGAATGTCTGCCTCTCTTTAACTCTATACCATAAGTCTGGCCATAGTTTAACCTCAGTGTTCAGAAAGAGAGCTCTTCACACTTTAAGTTCAAAGGATAAGAACAAAAAAAAAATGCTGTTAAAAATTGTTTTCTCATACTCCATGTATTCTTAGCATAGAGAGGGCGTTACCAGCTCCTTTGCTCCTACTGCGGAACCCAGAATTCCTTTCCTATAATCTAAGAAACACCAGCCTCCCCCATTGAAAGCTGTCATCGCTGACCCTGTCATCCACTCATTTTTGCAAGACTTGGATACTCATCTTCTCACCTATCTTTCTGGCCACATTCTCTCACCATCTGGATGCCTTCAATGTCTACACAGATAACTCACATAACATCCTGGCCTCTGGGCTACTTGACCTCCTCAACTCAAACGACCAACTCTCTCCTCTATCTTCCCATGGCCTCTGGCCACAGGACCTGGATCTAGCCATCACCTGCCAATGCTCCACATCAGAAAGTATAATTCAAGACTGGGCCAACCTGTCTCCTTAACTCTTCCCTACTTGAAAGTGACCTCATTATGACAATGGATGACTCCCATGTCATCTGGACGGCTCCCTAAAACGCCCCCTCCAAGTGCCAAAAGATACTACACCCTGTACATAGGTGTTAGTTTGATGGCTCTTCTTGGATGTTTCAAAGGGACTTCAATTTCAACACATTTAAAATCATGACAGTTATAATGAAATAAACAAAAAGGGCTACCATTCATTTAACATTGACTAAGAGCTGCTGTCCTAACCATTTTACATAAACTACCTCCTTTAAACTTTTCTATCTATTCTGAAGAAAAACAAACAAACACACACACAAAACCCTGAGGCACAGAGAGAACCCACAGTTAGTAAGAGGTGGAGCTAGGTTTCAAATCATGTAGTATGACTCTAGAATCTTGATTCTTAGGTTACATAGCTGCCCCTCTTTCCTGATCACCCCAGCCTGCTCCACTTGATTCCTCTTCTAATGCTCAAAATTAGAGAGAACAGCAGAGCGCTGCATCAGTCTCTTCACTGGCTTCCCAATGTTACCCCTGCCTACTCCTTGTAATCAATATGATTTCTTTCAAGCTGAAACTCAGATTGGGTCATCTCCCTGAGACCTCCCTCTATCCCACATACCCATATATTTCCTCCAAAATGCAATCATTTCCCATTGTTTTAAAAGAAAAAGTTGACAAAGATGAACAAGAACTTCCGAGTCCATTTTGAACCAACCTCCCCAGTCTCTGCAGTGTCCCTTGCTCTTAGTCCTCAGCTGCACTTTGCTCCCTTGCGTCACAGTTTTTGCCTGTGGTGTTCCCTTGGCCTGCTATGTTCCCTCTGCCCTTTCCCATCCTAGTAACACCTCACATCTCAAGCGCAAGTGTCTTTTGGGACTGTCAAGACTAAGGTAAATCTCTTCATGTTATGTCCTAGTGGCACATAGCCCTTTTTCTTCATAGATTTCTTTCAAGTTTATCATTTTAACTATTTTTGCATATTTCTTCGTATTTTATTATCTCCCAGTAATGAATGCATCACTTCACTGGAAGCAAAAACCCTTCTTTTTGAAAGGAGGGGCTAAAATTTCATGCCTAGTGCCTTACACATGGAATGCACAATAAATATTTATTGAACAAATAAAGTAATTAACACATCCCAAGTCTCCAGATGTCATAACCAGAAAAACTAACATAATATTTCATCAAGAAAGATACTTACACTCACTGATTCATCTGTTTCCGGTGTTTCTGCTGTCCCGCTACTATAGTTTCCCAACTGAGCCATTTCTAAGTGAAAACAAACAGTAAAATTTAAGAAAAATAGGGCAATTGCATTTAGGCAAGAATACATGCTGAAACAATGGAAAAAATAATTTTTCCAATGTGAAAAAAAAGAAGAATGTACTCTATGTCCTAATGAATCCATAGAAAAATCTTCAAAATGGCAAGAGTCAACAACTGACATTTGAAAATTGTTCATGGCAAGTCTTTCCCTGGAACCTCATTTCTCTCTTATTTATTTATTTTTTTTAATCATCTGTATACTGCATGGTGTGTTCGCCATCCCAAGTCAAGTCTCCTTCAATCACCATACTGTTGTCTGTGTCATCAAGTGTTGTTTACTTTTTTTTTCTGAATCCCTTCACCTTTTTCAATCCGTTTCCCAACCCCTCCCCTGACAACTGCCAGTCTGTTCTCTGTATCTGAGTCTGTTTCAATTTTGTTGGTTAGTTTATTTTGTTCATTAGATTCCACATATGAGTGAAATCATAGGTTCTTGTCTTTCTCTGACTGCCTTATTTCACTTAGCATAATATTCTCCAGGTTCACCCACGTTGTCACAAAGGGTAAGTTTTCCTTCTTTTTTCCTGGCCAACTAGTATTCCATTGTGTAAATGTACCACAGCTATTTTATACACTCATCTACTGATGGGCACTTGGGGTGCTACTAAAAATGATGCTGCTATGAACAAAGGAGTTCGTATAGTTTTTCAAATCAGTATTTCAGGTTTCTTCAGGTGTGTTCCTAAAAGTAGGATCACTGGGTCATAAAACAGTACCATTTTTAATTTTTTGAATAAATTCCATACTGCTTTCCACAGTGGTTGCACCAGCCTGCATTCCCACCAGCAGTGTACTAGGGTTTCCTTTTCTCCACATCCTTGCCGAAACATGTTGTTTGTTGATTTATTGATGCGAGCTATTCTGACAGGTGGGAGGAGATATCACATTGTTGTTTTGACTTGCATTTCTCGGATGATTAGTGATGTTGAGAATTTTCCCATGTCTATTGGCCGTCTGTATGTCCTCTTTGGAGAAGTGTCTTTTCAGGTCTTTCACGCATTAATTGGATTGGTGTGTGTGTGTGTGTGTGTGTGTGTGTGTGTGTGTGTGTGTGTGTTTAGTGTTGAGTTTTATAAGTTCTTTTAAGTTTGGAATATTAATCTTTATCATATGTATCACTGGCATATATATTTTCCCACTCAATGGGTTCTCTTTTCATTTTTTTGATGATTTCCTTCGCTTGGCAAAAACTTTTTAGTTTGATGTAGTTCCATGGAGCCTCACTTCTTATGAACACCTAGACTCAGGTACCTTAGAGCTGGGTCTCTGCTTTAGCTAGCAGGATTCACTGCCTAACACAACCACCACAGCTTAGGACCGGTTTGGGGCCAACGACTGTGATTATTTATAATCAGACATCCAAAAGAGGCAAGTCTTCCCAGGCTCTGACAGGCATCAAAGGAGCACTGACTAAGCTCAGAGGTGATTCTCAAGTTGTAGTTAGCATCCTTTCTTCCATTCCTTCATGTCCACTAAGAGATAGAGCTCCTGATACACTAAGAATTTGCAGTTTGTCAGAGAGAAAATACTAAGTGGTTAAGAGGGACTTGGGGATGCAAGATGTTGGTTACCACCACTATCAACCTTACTAGTGACCTTCTAACGTTGGGGTCTTTCTCTGTAAGATGGCAACAGTACTATATATAGACCCCTACATTCATGGCAGCATTGTTTTTAATAGCACCCCAAGTGTCCATCAGTAGATGAGCTTTTTATGAGTATTACTTTTATGATAATACATGTGAAGCTCTTAGAATGTTGACTAACAAAAATTAAGTGCTCACTGACTGTTGATGGTCATTTAATATTACTGAGTATATTATGTAATTTATCCTGGGCTGGATGCCACATTTTTGACACCAGCTTATTACCATAGTAGTCTAGTTAAAAAAGACAAAGGTGCCGAAGCTGGTTTGGCTCAGTGGTGGAGCGTCAGTCTGTGGACTGAAGAGTCCCAGGTTCAATTTCGGTCAAGGGCATGTACATTGGTTGCGGGCGCATTCCCGGTGGGGGATGTGCAAGAGGCAGCTGGTCGATGTTTCTCTTTCATTGATGTTTCTAGCTCTCTGTCTCTCTCCCTTCCTCTCTGTACAAAATAAATAAAAATATATATTTTTTAAAAAAAAGGAGAGACAAAGGTGTTACCATGGTGGTCTAATTAAAAAAGACAAAGTTGTCTAGTTTATTCAACCTACACTGGGATACAACCATAAAGACTCAAATCTAATTCAGCTTACTATTCATTTAGATTTTTATACTTAAAAAAGCATGTTTTATTAAAAAAAAGAACATGAAAGAATTTTCTCCCAAACTTTGGTAGGGGTTATATCTCTGCGTGGTAGGATCACAGGTAATTTGCATTTTCTAATATTATTTTTCAAACTTGAACATGTATAATAAAAAGTTTCAATTTTTAGTTATATATTTTTCTATGCATCTAAAATTATTTCTTAGGCTCTTATTTCATAAATTTATGTTTTTATAAATATAATTACCTTTTTTGGGGGAAAGATTACACATAAAGATATGAAGCAAAACAACAGTGAAATGTTGCCTCTGGATAAAAATAAACTCCAGATTTGACAATAACTGGAGACTGACACTCGCTTTCTCAGTTTCCCTGTAGGGAAAGTTTAAGAATAAAAATGAGTTCTCAGTACAAAGTGTATGCTTTCCTGGTGTCATTCAAACGCTGTCAACATCCTATGTGACTAGCATTTCAGATTTATGAACAAGGAGGTGAACTAAAATGTATTTAGTTGGAGGGACTTTCCAGGAAAAAGGCGATTGTAATATGGTTTAAATAAAATGGTAGCAACAGCTCACATTTATTCAGCATTACTATCTCTTGGGTCCAGAGATAAACTCATGTAACCCTGAAAACAATTCTCTGAATAGGCACCACTATGACCCCATTTTTATGAAAAGAACACCAAGGCACAAACAGGCTCATTAGCATGTTCAAGGTCACACAGCCTGCAGTGCTGGGTGCCAGGGCCAGTTCTGGGCAGGCCCACTCCAGACCCTCACTCCGCACATCAAAGGTCAGGCTTCAGGTATATTATCGATAGTATAGACAAGAAGGGGAAGCAAATGTGGATCAGTTCATTTTAATCACATTCTGAGTGATTAAAAAAATAAAATAAAAACTATCCTCAGACATGCATCAAGAAAATTGTGTCAAGAGTTAAAAAAAACACACAACAATTCTTATGGATCAATTTGTATTACTGAACTCAAAACTGGTCAATGATCACTATTAATTTTTTAGACTTTGTGAAGGTATATAAATGGGCCTGAGATTATATACCCACCAACGGTGAGCCCACAGTGCTATTTACTGCTCTTCAGCTGAGAAAACTGAAGAGCTCTGAGTCTACAATTCCAGGGCTGACACAGACAACTTCTCCAGCGTGAAGAGTCACTATAATCTACTTTGACAGCCTCCCCTACTCCAATTATTGTCAGAAAAAAACGAATTAAAAAATGGTTCTGTTTTAAATAGAATTTCTGCTAAATAACTATTATCTGGGAAACACATATTATTTGTAAGCAGTGGGTAGTAATGGGATGGAACCAAGAGTCAGCTTTTGAAGCAGGAACCTGAGGCATCATTTTGTAATGCCTGAAGAGATTTTTAAAACTCATCTAAATACCATTAAACATCTGCCCTTTTTATTTCATTGATTTAAACCATTTCTGAAGACTCATGATTCAAAAAGGTAAAGATGGTAATTTAAAAGCCACGGGGGAAATCTCTCCCCGGGGAATGCTTCAGAGTGGCAGCCACCCGTCTCTGATAAGTGCTGAGTCTGTCGTGGCACTGCTGTCAGTACAGTATCCATTTTCCTGGTGTTATCTCCCAGGAATGTGTGCATCATTTCCCTGGAAGCAAAGACCCCGACGGCCATAAGTGCAAACAAAGCAGGGCCGCACAGAGAAGCAGGGTGGAGAGCAGCAAGGTTCCCGGTTGCTGATGGACAGATGTCTGTGCTCAGTTACCTTCATCACAAACAATTTAGCATGACAAACACTGTTTGCAAATTCCAGGTAATGAACCTGGAAGACAATGTTGAATGAAGGAGTCTGTGATTGTGAGTCATTTTATGCAGTGTATAACCTAAATGTTTCAAAGGACAATCCCAAACAATAAAGAGCAGGAAAAGGTAGGGGGTTATTGCCCCCTATTTGATTTTCAAAAAATTGCAAAGAGGATGCTTCCTCTTCTTTGTATTTAATAGCATTAGACTTGTATTTTTTATTTGAATCAATCATAAATCCTTATGTAAGCTTTAAAAAACACCCCCTGGCTCTCTTTTATATTACTAGGTCTTTTGGGGACAAATAAGCAAACTATATCTACCAACACTGTTCCTGATTTGAAGCAATCTATCATCAGTTAGCTTAATCCCAAATTACTCTAAATTTAATGTCACTTTTATATTAGTTATAATTTATTTAGCAACATTTTCAAGATTAAAAAGCACCCTTGAGAAGAACTCAACTGAGCTTTGCATGAGAGAAAAATACTTGGAAAGACTGAAATCTAACCTCCTGGGACTTGGGCAATGTCAAGCCAACAGGCCACGAGGATTTCAGGGCGGGCCCCGTACCTTAGATCGTTGGTCAGCAAACTCATTAATCAACAGAGCCAAATATCAACAGTACAAAGATTGAAATTGCTTTTGAGAGCTAAATTTTTAAACTTAAACTATAGGTACATTGTTATTAACTAATTAGGGTACTCCTAAGCTGGCCTTTGCTAAAAACTCAAGGAGCCGCATGTGGCTCGCGAGGCATAGTTTGCCAAGCATTGCCCTAGGTAAACACAAAGGAATGGGGCATGCTCACTTGCTCCTCAAGGCTCAACTTGTACCTGTTTCCTTCAATAACAATTAGTCCCCAAATTTGGACTTTTCAATAGATAGAGTCAAAACTTGAGGGGAAAAAAAAAGGAAAGATTTGTCATTAAGTTCTTCCTTGAGGTCATAGTGCATAAGCAAGTGGAAGGTCAGCCCCACCAGGGTACTCACCTTCCAGGGGGTCCTTGTTGAGTCCCAGCTGGCTAATGATGTACCTGGGAATGTCCGTTTTAATGCCCTGCCCTTCTTTTGCATGGCCCTCTGCTGCTTCCAGCAGGTAGTAAAACTCTTCAGGGTCAAATTCCTAGCAGAAGACAAACACAGATGGACACTTCTTTCAGTCAAAACTGTTTAAGGTTTTATTACAAAAGTCCCATCCACAAGTAATTGCTAGGTGTACATGGGTGTGGATTATTTATGCAGAAAGGAGGCAAATGGCTTTAAAAAGTCTATAATTCTCCCTTCATATTCAAAGACTATTCATTTTTTCTGAGACAATACATTTGTATACTTGGTAATCCAGATAAAATAACCATTCCCAATGTCCTTGTAATGCAACTTTGAAGGTACTATCTCCACTTTTAAAATATCTATCTTACTGAAAATAAACATGTCTGAATTTTTAATTGTGCCTCTTTAGCAAAGTTTTAAAATCTGGGAATCTCATCTAAAAGATCGTTTCTCTCTCCCCACAAAGAGCCACACACCAAACGAGTAATGTTAGAACATACTTTGTCAAAGGTTTTGCCAGAAACTCCTTTAGTACAAGGGTGTCCAAAGATGTTAGGAGGAAAAAGTTCAAAATTATCACTTTTTATCAGTAAACTCTAAAATTAAGTCATTAACATTCATATAATGTGAAAGAAAAATGCAGTTAGTGCTTCCAATTACCTCTGCCTATTTTTAAAAACCGGTAGCACATTTTTCCTATGTATTTTTACTTCCCTTGGTGTCTGTGGTGTCTAGCACATAGTCAAAAGCTTTAGAATCACATCCCTCTAGAAGGATTTATGTGCTATAAACAATATGCTCCCAGATTTAAAGCACAGTTGCTATTTTCAGTTATACTTCCTAGATTTTTTTCCCTGCAGAATTTTCCCTAATTTGATTAATGTCCCAAAAGCATGCAACTTTGGAATCTCAGGATTTCACCTGACAATTACTTAAAGAGTTTCTAAGATAAATGGTGATCAAAGAAAGAAACTAAAACGAGAAAGTTAATAAGAAAAATAATAAATAAAGGCCATATTAAAAAAGCTTTCTGCAAATGGAATAAAGCCAAACCAACGTAGACACTCGGTGCTTTAGACAGACCTAAGACATTGACAGATAAGACCACTGGTGAGAGCCACTGACAGAGAAGACCAGTGGTGGGAGACACATCCCTAAAATTCAGAAACTCCAGTCTCGGCTGGACTTTAAACAGTTCTGAAAGCAACATTTTAAAATCTACTTATACATTCACTTATTTCTATCTTTGAGAGGCTATGCCTTTACTCTCTCTCTCTTCTGATTAGGAGTGATTACTGCAAAAGATTCACTTCCTTTTTAAGGCCAGATCTTCTCTGAGCCTATCTGTAGCTGTCCAGAGAAATGAGTTTTAATGCTCAATGGTATCTCCCCCCAAATTAAATCACTGCAGGAGGTACACACACGTGGTGCACAAGGTTCACCAGGAGAATGAATAACAAGTCTTGCTTCTACCCACATCTGCCAGTCACACAATCTCCTCCTCTCCTGAGACATCAGTCTTTTTGCGCCTTTCTCTTTCCCAAGACCACTCAGTGCCAAGTGGTCCTTTTGCTTCTGTGGCTCTAAGGCTCCTGGCAACCGATGGAGAGGCCTCCTCCACAATTCCCCGACCTTTCTCCTCTGCCACATCTCACTCTGCGTTTGTATATATTAATGGGGCTGTGAACATGTCACTATTATAAAAAGGTATGAATGTTGGTGTCTGTGTGGTGATGGTGAGGGTATGTATAATTCTGAAAAGTTGTATTGTACACAACAGAGTTATAAAATGTTTTAATGGCTAATGCAATTAACAGTTCGTGTTCATAGTATGCTAAGCTCTTTTGAAAACCATTCTTATGCCCAAAGCTTCATATTTGTTCAGTGTTTCATAAAATTCTCAATGAGAATTACATAAAATAAAACAGAAGTTTTAAAACAGAAAAATAATTACTGACCAAAAAAACCCAAAAAACATCCTGATAAAATGAACTCATCTCCAAGTCATGTCTTCAGATCTGGATGAGGCCCTATTGTGTTCTCCCATATGGGCTGCTGACCAGAACACATTTCTAACATGCCGAATTTTAACAAACAAATAATAATTACAACCACAGGTTACCGTACATCATGCCTCTGATTTCTGTCTCTCTGCATCTGGGCAACGCCCAAAAAGTGAGGCTCAGCAAGAGTTTAAATCAGCAGTAACAGAATAGTTACAAGGAGATAAGGTGGGGCATATGTTTCATGTTCAGCTCTTAAGTTTGGTCAGAATGTGATGAGACTATCGCTTCATATAGCACAAGTCCTAAAATTCTTACTGAGAGCCAGAAAACAAACCATACATGGATGGCATCGGACACGTTCACAATTATAGTTCCCACGGACTCTATTGAGCCCTGGTCTTTGGAGCCAAAGGGAATTGGAGCTGAGGGTCATGGCTTTTCCACAGTTAACAATCAATAATGGAGTCACCTCTAGGGGCAACTTACCAGGCACTCCAGTAACCGAGCGGGGCGGGCGATCACAATCAGGATCTTCCGGACTAGTTGTTTAATGAAAGCCAACTCACTGCTTTCTGACCGTTCGTGAGCCTATGGCAAGAATGATGATACAGAGTTGCTCCATTACACAGAAAAGAAATTCAGCAAAGTATGCTAATTAGATAATTGCAAATATTCAAACATTAAGCGATTTAGAAAATACTTTTAAAAGATTGATAAGCGGACATTAGCTCTACATAAATGGACACTATTAAACTTCTATATTTCCAAAATGGCTCTATTAGTTAAATTTTAATTGCAAACCTTTGATTAATTCTCTCTGTTAAAAATCAAATGTTAGGACCGCTAATGTGAACCATGAATGAAGGAGACATTAAAAGTTTACGACACATTAAGTCTGTGGTATAAGGAGAGTGGGCAGCTGCCAAGGAATCTGATTTTCCAGATGTAACATCTTACGTGTAGGAAACAGCTAACAGAGTGAATGAAGGACCATTTTTGCAACCAAGACGATGGGTATTTAACACATTCACAAAAGACATTTTACATATATACAATATACATTAGTTATTTCATAACATATACAAAGTGTGCATTTCTTTTTTCCAATGTTAGGTGGATAATGTTTAAACTTGGATACATACATATGATTTTGATTTCACTTACTGAATAAATAGTACCTAGGCACAGAACTCAATAAAATTTAACTGACTTAAAGTCTTTTAAAATTTTATTATGCAGGTTGCCTACATGTGCAGTCTATGCACAACAAATAGCCTGAGGACAAAACTCCGTTTATTTAGAAGCATTTTAATTTTCAGTGCCATTTTCTTGAAGAAATGAGGTAAATCTTTATTAAAGGAGACCTCAAATGAAAGTTTAAGAAGTTTAAATGTAAACTTCTATGCATGTTTACTTTTATGCTTTTTTTAATTTTAAATTTTTATGATTTACTTTTCTCGAAGGATTAAAAAATCAAGGTGATGCTGGTACAACAGAATATAATTGCACATGGTAATAAGTATTTAAAAATCATTACTAAACGTGCTTTATTCTGACAAGAATCAGCCTTCTCATAGAAAGAATTGGTTATATTTGAAAATGAGTCTATTTAGCAATAATATGATTACTGAATTTAAACCACCAATTCAAAGGCAAGTTTCCAAAATGTAGATACAAAAATCATATACTAGCAAAACAAAACAGCTAACATTAAAAAAAAAATGACCACTGGTGAATAATGTTAGAATAGAATGTGTTCAAAGCAAACCAACTAGTAACTATAACTATAGGTCCTGGTAACCAGCAAGACTGCTGCAACATACATAAGGAGATATACATAATATTTAATCTATCTTTAAGTGTTCTTTCCAATTTTTGTTTTATAATAAAAAGATATAGCGGAATGCCAAAAAATGTGGTTATGTCTTCTTTATAGTTTACCCTTAAGATAAAATAAAATATCCTCACCTAACTTTTTAAAAAATATATTTTTATTGATTTCAGAGAGAGAGGAAGAAAAGGGGAGAGAGAGAACCATCAATGATGAGAGATAACCATAGATTGGTTGCTTCCTGCATGCCCCATACTGGGGATTGAGCTCACAACCTGAACATAAGCCCTGATTGGGAATGGGACCGTGACTTCCTGGTTGACAGGTAGACTCAACCACTTGAGCCACACAGGCTGGGCCCCATCTAACTTTTTAAAAAATATAGATATTTTTATTGACTTCAGAGAGGATGGGAGAGGGAGAGAGAGTTAGAAACATCAATTGATCGTCTGCCTCCTGCCTGTCCTCTCCTGGGGATTGAACTTGCAACCCAGGCATGTGCCCTTTACTGGAATCAAGGATCCTTCACAGTCTGCAGGTCGACATTCTACCCACTGAGCCAAACCAGCTGGGGCCTCCACCTAACTTTTTTTCTGATAATTTGGGCTAGATACTGTAATAATTACTAATTTATAAAACCAGAAATGCAAAAAAAAAAAAATCTAAAAAGTCTGCATGTTTTGTTAGTCTCTTCAAAGAGAAATAAGAATTCTATATCTTAAGAATTTTTAAAAAATATTCAGTTTAGATTACACAAATTCCATTATAAAAACTATAATAATTATCCATTTATTCTATTCTTACTTTTCAGAATTATTAACCATAATAAGACCAAAACATATAATGGGTTATATTAACTCAGATAATATTTTATCTCCCAACATTATTGAGGAGGAATGGGAAAGCTTCGTTAAAATAACTCCAATCAGAACCATACACACAGCATGAGAAGAATAATATAGTCTTGGCTGCCAACAACAAGCACCAATGCTCACCGATACCTGTGTTTATATTTTAAGTGTTGGCCACTGTAAAAAATACTGAGAGCCTTATTTGAGGGCAGGTTATAGCTTCCTATGTATTTCATTTTCTTTGGCTAAGTACACCTAAGTGGGGGGGGGGGGGGGGGAAGTATGGAGACATAAAAGCATTTATCAGGAACTGACCTAGATGTCAGTACTTTAAAAGGCATCAGTTAAATCAAGCTACCCAAACCTAGGGAGACCTGGTTTGGGTATGCAAGAGAATGACAATGGGAAAAAGTGGCTGGGAGACAAGCCAGGCGGGCACACAATGTCACAGCTGGGAACTGACAGCAGTGCATTGTGGGGAAGGCAGAGCAAGTCCCCACAATTCTGCTTTATCCAAAAAGGGTACGTTCCCCTGTGACCTTTTAGCGCCAAACTCTGAAAGGACATTGTGAATACGATTGTGAAGATAGCTCTGATTTTCACAAAAGGACTGAAGGAAATGTTTATCTGCAAAGATAAATAAGAAGACATTCTTATTCAGACCCAACAATGCCCTTTATGCCACAAGTACACATGCTTCTCTGCCCCCAGAAAGAAATTTCTCTAACAATCAACATTTGTTTATTTATTATTGGTCCATTCCAATGATTTCTAAAACCCTAGGACTTTTTAATTGCCATGAACAATCTGTCAGGTCTCTCATACAGAAACAAAATTAAGTGCAAGATTTCAGTGTAAGTAGTTTTTTGTATTGATTGTACCCTTTTTTGGAGAATGTCCATGATGGAAGGAAAAACAGGACTAAACTAGTAATTATAGAATTCAGAAAGAGTATCTTGCAGAGGCCTCTTCAGTTTAGAAAGGCTCTGTTTAACAAATATAATTTTTAAGGTATTTTCCAGAAGTTGACTTAATTAAAAGGAAGAGCAGAATTAGGTTACCTGACAACAGATCAGAACGGATGGGATATTTTGGCATGCATACACATGCATCCTCCTCTTCCCACCTGTCTCCCTCCCAGTTACTGAGGAGCCAAGTAAACATCAGGCACCGGGCCAGATGCCAGGGAGTTAGAGATGATTTGAGGGTGATCTTGGCCCTCAAAGAGCCCAGGGCAGGCTGGTGAACTGAGTCCCCAAAACAGATCAATCCAGAGTATCGTGGTTAAATGTATTAAGATGAGGAGTGTGACACAGGCCAGTTATGGTTTTTACTTGTAGGCAGAATAGAGCCAATAAAGGATGTTAGATGTTCTTGCAGTTGCACAGAAGCATGAATTTGAAGGGTTAGGGATAGAAGGGGGCAGACCAGTGAGACGAGGGCCTGAGCCTGGTAATAGAAGAGGAGGGAGGATTTGAACTCATATCAGTGACTTCAGTGAGAGTGCGTCAGAAGCCAGTTATTGTGCACTTGTGGACTGAGCCCTCCCCTGCTTCGCACCTTATCCTAGGTCCATAGTCGGCAAACTGCGGCTCATAAGCCACATGCGGCTCTTTGGCCCTTTGAGTGTGGCTCTTCCACAGAATACCATGGCCTGGGGGAGTCTATTTTGAAGAAGTGGCATTAGAAAAAGTTTAAGTTTAAAAAATTTGTCTCTCAAAAAAAATTTTAATGGTTATACTGCTGATATTTCGCTCTGTTGACTAATGAGTTTGCCGACCACTGTCCTAGGTGAATAGAACAGACAATATCTCTGCCCACACAGGCATGATGTCCTAGTACAATGCTACTCAAATGGTGGCCTAAAGACTGGGACCAGTCCACGAGCCCTTATCAGTCTGTGATGAGAGAAGCGCAATGACTGAGAATAAGCAACCCTTACAGCAATTCTACACGCTGGGACCCAAATGCATGATCATCTGTCTGTAAATTAATTTTCATTTTAATTTACAGGAGAATTGGTCCATATCAAATTGGAAATCAACACGAAAAATTTAAAAAGAAAATAAAACAATGTATTCATCCCCAAAGTCAGTCTGAGAAACACTGCCTTAGTGGTTGCAATAAGTTAGAATGTGAGAAATGGGAACAGAGATGAGAAAACTTAGTTGGGAGATCAGGATGGGAAAAGGAATAAAATAATTGCTGCTACCCAAAGAGGGCTCTTCTCATCTTGCCACAACTAAATTCTGTGGGGGCAAGGACAGATGAATTTCTAGATAGCTAAGATGCTAATATTTTCCTTCGGCTTCATGCAATTATTCGCATATTCATACTTACAGGAAACCATCTTCGATTATGTTTACATAGGCATAATTTATTCCCTATGAGATACAGAAATACAATATACACTACTCTACAGGCTAAATAGGTTTTCCTTGAAGGCTGTGGCTTATCAATTTCAATCAGAATAGCAACATTAAGCAGTAATTCCATTCCACCGTGCACACTCCCTTCCGGTCCTGGGGATTATCGGGAGTGGAGCCTGCAGGAGTTAGACCTAGACAAGGCCTGTGTTTACCTATCATTTCGGAAATTGGATATTTCGTTAGAAGAAGAACTGACACTAATGAAAATCTAAGTTGCCATTTACCGCCCAATACCACATGCAGGTTAATTAATAGGACACAACAGCCTGGAAGAAGCAACAATTTTCCATTTAGCTTTTCCAGATATTAGACCTAGATAGCATCATCAAATAACACACATGCACTCAGGCAATTTATAATGCTATAGCTAAGGATGGGGGGAATCGTTGCTTCAAAATCCTTCACAATCCACTTATCCTGGATCCATGAGCTGTTGGGTCCCAAGGTTCCTGTAAAGGTTATCACATTAACTTTCTATTACTATAAATGAGGACCGGAACCCATTTATGGCAAGTAGCAATCAGGTGGTATTTTTCCCCCCTGCTTCATTTTTGCTTCCTTGAATATGAACTCCATCACACGGTTAAAACTTGTTAAGCAAATGCTCTTATAAAAATGTTCCCCCCCTCCCAGGGGAAAGGCAAAATAAGTCAGCAAATCTATACACCGTGCGGTCCTTACCTCCTGTAGCAATTTATCTAATTTGTGCTGCAATTCAAGGAAGTATCGGGAGGTGATGAGGCCCTGGTGGGATTTATCCAAGCAATCTCGCGCCAGCTCAATAATCTGGTGGTGAGTGAAACTGAGCACCCCATCTGCCAGGGGCAGCACGTGGTCTGGGGAGTAGCTGGTGATGATTTCCTTCAGACGGTCTTCCATCTGCGCCGTGGCCTGTTTAGAGGAGATGTGCACACACAGATGTAACAAGGACACGCACATCTGGACAATTCAATCATCGCACTTCTTTTGCATTTTCAGAGACTTCCTTACGCTTTTAAATATGATTCCAGAAATTAAATTTGAAAGAAGCCTCATTTCTGAATGATACTACACTGGTGCACACATCACTATATATTCCTCAAAGCCCGAGGAATGTACAGCATGGAGGTGAACCCTGATGTAAAGAAAGGGCTTTGGGTGATGGTGATGAGTCCTTGCAGGCTCATCCACTGTAACAGAGGGGCTACTTTGGTGGGGGATATTGATGAGAAGATTGTGCATGTGTGGGTCAGGGAGTATTTGGGAACTCTGTACTTTCTGCTCAATTTTGCAGTGAACTGAAAACTGCTCTTAAAAAAAAACCAGTTTATTTGGGGTGGGGGGGGGGAAGAAGTCACACCATGTGGACAGAAGATTTGAGGTACGGAAGGAAAACCAACAACCAGGGCAATAATTACTTTTTCCCTATGCCCTATCAAATGTAAAATGGTCCATGCAACCTTCTCCTCAGGTAACTTACTCTCCGTGAAATGTTATGCTTTCATTTCAGATCTTCAGTTCTGTTAAAGACACTGTCAAAAGTATTGAATGGCTCTGTTTCTCCCTATACCACCATCGGGGCTGTCACTGGGGTCCCACAGGGCAGGCCAAGTGTGTACCAGGAACCAGCATCTTACACCACCTTGATCCTTTCCTCAGAAAGCTTCCAGACATATGCAAAAGGCCCAGGGGGTTCCCTTGGTAGCATAAATCTAAAATGTCCTTTCCCACGTCCATGTCCTAGCCTGTGATCCCCACTGCCTGGTCAATACTCCTCACTGTTGGCTGCCTAATCAGGGAGGTTCCCTCTGCCTCCTGCCCCCTCTGAAGTCCTAACCCGTATTAACTATAGTCAGGACCCACTTCCCCAGGGAACCAGTGACATGTGATAAATAGCTGAAACGGCTTTAATCGATGGCATCAATGTTAGATTCATTACAAAAAATAAGTACTCTACTTCTGATCTATGAAGCCAGATTTCCTTTTGTTCTCTGTAAGGGGGGGAAGAGGGGAAGGGACGAAATGGAGAAATTGCCTTCTCCCACACGTGCAGGACACTTTGGTGGGAAAGCCGTGGAAATGAGGTGTCGGAAACTATCGGACAGCAGCTCCGTGCAGCCAGGGTGCCTGGCAACAGCCATTCATCCAGCCTCTCAGGCTCAGTTCACATACTTTTTGCAAGCCCTGGCCAGTGTGCCGCAGTTGGTTGAGCTCTGTCCCATACACCAAGAGGCTTTGGGTTTGATTCTGGTCAGGGCACATGCCCGGGTTGCATGCTTGACCCCCAGAAGGGGGTGTGCATGGGGCAGCAGATCAATGTTTTACTCTCACATCAGTGTTTCTCTGTCCCTCTCCCTTCCTCTCTCTCTAAAATGAAAAACAAACATATTGTAATTTAAAAATTCCTTTTGCCACTCTAATGGGGAACATGGAACTAAAAAGGTTATGTGTACAATTGGTAAAGAGATACGAAGTCATAAAAACAAGACATTTAGCTAAATATACTAAATATATATATATATTTATATACTATATATATATATATATATATATATATTTGGATGGATATATATATATATATATATATATATATATATATATATATTTCCATGCCATACCAGGCTTCTAAGGAAGAACATAGTCTCTGCTTAACAAGACTGCGGGCCCAGAGCATGGACATGAAGAGCACCAGGGTCGAGGCCCCAGTGGTGCTACAAACAGCAGGACTCACTTGGGGCCAGTTCAGCACCAGGCTGTGTGGCTAGCTCTCAGCAGTTTGTAAACATGTTTAGTGATTCTTTCTAAAGAGGCTGTACTGTTGTATGCGGGTCATTTCTAGATTGAACCATTCCATCCCTTACAACCACCTTCCAGACTCTAAACCTACAGTGCCTGTTTGTTCCAATGCCAGGCACCTTCAATTCAGCTCATTACCTTTGGGAACCTTTCTTTGTAGACATGGTTCATCATAATTATTTCATGGTCACAGCAGGCGGGAGAACGTCCAGGGCTGCAAGCAAAGTAAATTACCCTTTTAAACTTGCCACAGCGTGAAATGAAAATAAGCCTTTTATTTATAAACAATTGGTTGCATCAAAAGTACTATACAACCTTTGTAAAAAACAAACAAACAAACAAATGTATTAGGTACTAAACTACAAAATCATTCATTAGTGCACACATACCTTCCCACAAACATAGAGACACTCATGAGGATTCAAAAAGCAAGTTCAAGAAGTGGAATGCCACATATTAATTACAGCTGCATGAATAACCCAGGAAACTGTCTTAAACTGAGCTTACATCATTCCGTATGGAGCATGCACTTGTGCATGAGTTCTGGGAACCAGTTAGTGAACTGTAATCATTATAAAAGCAGATAAGGTGGCCACAAAAACAGCCTCAGGCCCACGTGGAAGTGTCTAATGTCACACTTTTATCACACACCTGCGCTCCGCCACAGCCCACCGCAGAGCGCTAGGAGCCTTCCACGCACAGGTGTCAGCAGTGAAATCCATTTTCCAGCCTAGCACACATTTATTTGGGATGCTGAGGCGGGCGTTGTGTACAAGATGAAACAGGCATACAATGTGGTGCATTTTTCTTTATTTCAGTAGCAGGTCTGTGTTCCTTCTTAGTGGTAGGTAGTTCTGCAACTTCCCTGTGAGTATCTACATTCCCAGGAGAACACAGTTTGCACTAGAGATCCTAGAAACTCCTTTCATAAAACGAAAGGGTAGCTGTGGAGTAACATGTCATTAAATGCAGCCATACAATTGTATTTATACTCCATCTCTCAAAATATTCTAACACATCCTACATTACCAAATGTTATCAGTGTATGATACTAAATATGAAGAATACAGAGGGGGAAAAAATCCCTTCTGAGTAAACTTTAATATTCAATTGTACTCCTGACAAAATATTTTTTATAATAAAACCTTAATATATCAAAGGGCACCAATGCTATACTATCAGGTCTGGTACTTGGTGGACCAAGAGATGGCTGCCGGATCCCCCTGCAGGTGCTGGGGCAGGGGTTGGTCATTTCAGAGATGGCCTCGGCTGCAAAGTCACCTCACCCTAGGCCATGCTCTTCCTAAGAGTGGGTGTTACATCCAGCGACTGAGGCAGAGATGTAAAGGAAGGGCCATTGGGCCTGGAGGTACAACTCCGATGGGTCATGTCACTGTGAGCCTGTGTGGCAGCTACACATCTCCCTGTGTCCCATGCTGCTTCCTCTCCTTCCACAGGGGTGGATCCTAAGCGCTCCCCCTAAACTTCCCCATCTCTGTTTTAGAGTCTGCTTACTCAACCATCAGACTGTGACTTCTGAAATGAGATCAAAATAAAACTGGCTCTGTTTTTTGTCAAAAAATGTGAACTACATTGGGCATCCACAAAATTCAAGGGACACAGACTGCTAACAGCTTGTCCAAAACCCTGGAGAAAAGTACGAAAGCTCTCGGAGGGCTTCTGTAATGTAGAATCTAAATTCCACATGTGAATTCAATGTGCTGCCTTCTCTTTCAGCCCAACTTCTCCCTCTTAAATTATTAACTCCTCTCGCACCATAATTCAACCCTCCTGAAATTTCCAAAGGCTAGGTGGTCTTCTAGATCCTTTAACCACTGTAATCACTGCTACTACAGCAATTCGTAAGAGCTGTAAGAATTTGAAAGAAAAATAACACGACCTCTTTCAATCGTAATTAATAACATCCTGTGCAGATGGGAAAATCACACTGTAGTTATAGCAGTTCACAAATCAATGAACGCATACATGAACGTCAGGACCAAAAGTCTTCCCTTGAAAGGACTGAAAAGAGGCAATCCGATTAAGCAACGTTTTCCAATTGGGTCTACACACCTCAGACTTCGGGAACGGGGGCGCATAGGGGTGTTCCTGCACCTGTTCTCTGCGGCGATGCTTTCGGTGGTACAAAAATGTTTCGATAAGAAGTGTAACTCATCTGGTGTTGGTTGGTATGGTAACTGGTGCAACTTCTCCTGGGAGGAACAGGATGACTGAAACAAACCAGAGTGAAGTTATGTGACCACCTTATAACACTGGGGGAGGGGGGCAAATAGTGATGGAAGGAGACATGACTTGGGATGAGGAACACACACAATACAATATACAGATAATGTCCTATAGAATTATACCCCTTACACTTATATAATGTTATTAACAAATATAAGCCCAAATAAATTCAATTTTAAAAATAATGTCTTCCAATGCATACATAAAAGCATTACAGCTTGATATCCCACCATTTTTCATTGTTTCCTTTTCATGTTATACTAAGTAACTAGTGCCTATATTGGTAACGCCTTAATACTTTCTCTGGGAGGCCAAAAGGGCTTCTATATTTTGTCTCATTGGTCTATAAGTTGATTTCCCCAAAGATTTTCCTCTCTGGAGAAAACCCAGGCTCTGAAAATGGATAGGACCCATTCAAAGCCAAGGCAGCAAAGTAACAACTGGAGTGAGAATTTGGGTACATTAAGTGACAGATTAGCTCTCAATGGAGTACAGTACACTTATTTCTACTGTGGCTTATAATCACGCACTGTGACTGTGACTTGTATGATGCCTGATCATAAACGAGGAGCTGAGATCTCTTTACAGAGCATGCTGCCCTTTGATGCAACTACCACTGACATGTGTCCTGGTGACAAAAGGAACCAAGAAAGATTCTTTTCTCAATAATGCCATTGTTTAAAAAACTGGAAATTTCCCCCTTTTTTCTTTGACTAAGACTATCAATTTTTAAATAGCTTTAGTGGTGGTGAGTTTTTAATCCCTTGAGTTTAGATTTACTCTTTGAAAATGTTCATTCAATACTTGGAGCAAGGTAAGGTAGAAAGGTGAATGGTTAAATCACACTGCTTTTAATCAATTGGAAGAATAAAACTATAAAGCAGAGACTGATGTTTTTATTGGGTGATGAACTCTGTAAGCAATTCTAACAAGATACTGATAAATTTTTGAATAACAGAAACATGGTTAGATTAAACATATTTGGAGAAAGACCACTCATTTAAAAATTCAGTTATAATGGGATTTTTTTCATTTAAAAAAGTCATTAGGTTAAGAGCACACTTCATAAACCCTGAAATCACAATGCAGTGACACTAGAAATGAGTGACTAGAGCTTAAAAATATCCTGATACCTGGAAATTATAGACCACTGTACCAAGTACATAGAGAGATAAAGAGACTTTTCTAATGTAATGAGATTGTTTTATAAACCATTAAAATGAAAACACTACTAGACAGATTTGTGAGATAAACCAAAACTCCATTCAGAAACTACAGGCACAGCCTTTAAACCCTTCACTGTGAAAAAACAACACACGCATAACTGAAGTCAACTCAAAGAAAATGGCAAAAGAATAAAAAAAACAAGCAGGAGAGAAGCAGCTATGATAAAAGCAAAAATAAGGAAATTAACAAACAGAAAAAGAGAATTAAGAATCGGTACATATATCTCAAAGGTAAATCCAGGTCCATAATTCTGCATCTAAGATTTCAAAACCCGGAAACCCAGAAGTTAATTCTTAAGTGTATAGTAATTCCCTTTGATGGCAAAGCATCAACTGAATGGATGGCAAGCTACTTAAAAATGTGTATTTAATCCACTTAGTGTGAATGTTGACTCAGGTTGCTGTAGAAATTTAATATATTTGGTTATGAGCTGCTGGGCCAGTTGCTGCTGAGCTGTTGTGTACAGTACAGGGATCATGTTACCTTTCTAAAATGTGAAAATTAATTCCAAGTTAATTTGTAGCAGGTTCCAGAAGTTCACATAAGTTATTAGGCTCCTGCATGAGAATGATCCCAAGAGACTCCAACGGGGCTGGGGCGGGGGTTCCCTTTGTGGAGGGCGCGAGGAGAAAGGAAGGGATTGCATGGGAGGGGCTTTCATGGTAGAGTTAACACTTTATTCATTAAACAAAATAAAAATGTATCTTTTAAAACTGGTTGCAGAAAGGTAACAAAAGCATTAACAGGAGTTAATGCTAAGAGGAAAATAATGTAGTTATGCCATATACAGCCATATAACTGAACTCCATAAGGAATGTATAATGGGGAATACGTAAATCAATGGTGCAGGGTTGGAATCGTGTAATCTCCACCGTATTAAAGAAGCATGGAAGCTCGGAGCTGCTCTGGGGAGAGAGCCTCATCTCAGTGAGAGCAAGCGAGGTGCTAATGGGAACAGGTGACAACAGGATGAGTCCAACTGGGAACAACCGCAGGTCCCCAAAATGCCCTGTGGAGTCAATGGCACCAAAGGGGCCCAAGCAGTGAGTGGATATGGGACAACAGAGCAATGAAAGGCTCAGTTTTAGTGGCCGCAGGGATGCAAAGCCAGTGGGGGGAGTGTCCAGGACAACAGAGGGTGTAGGTACTGCCCCCGCAAGACCTCATACCCCATTGAGAAGATACCTCCACTGGTGAAACATCCTTGGAACACCACTTTTACAAGAGTTTCAAGAATTAGTTTCTTAATTAGCTGAGCTGATTACTTTACATTTTTAGCATGTTCTCTAAGTGTGGTGCCAATGGGTCTCATCCAACTAGTTTGCATATGACCTTTGACTGTACCATAAGTCAAATCCACTTTCAAAGAGTGAAGGCTCACACAAAAACTGTGCTGCTAGCTCTCAAGGCAATAAGAAGTCACCCCCAAAATGTTCTTAGTAATGATATCCTCTATAATGAAAGGCTAATTTGCAAATTGTCCCCTAGACTGGGAATTTGACCAGGAGTTCAACCAGGGGATGTGTGGCCCCTCCTCCTGGCTGGTCCTGCACCCGATTGGGGGCAGGGGCAGCCTGCCAACTGCTGGCAGCTTTACCCCTGGATGGCCTCATCCCCAATAAGCTCCCCCACCATGATCAGGTGTGGGGCCGGCTGGCCAACCTGTGGCCTCTCCCCTCAGCTGGCCTGGGTTCACCCATGCACCGGGCCTCTAGTCATTCAAATAAGCATTTAGTCTCGCAATATAACCATTTTGCAGAGGACAGTGTTCATATGTATGCATAATTTTTTACTTGTTATCTATTTCAACATTTGAAATAACATTTTTAGAGTCACATCTCATATTTAAGGCATTTCTGATTTCTTCTTTCCCCCAGCAGAAAATAATTTATCTGGTAAGAAATATAAGGAAGGATCCTCCTATTGCTGCAATTCCATATGACTTATTTTTAAATTAAAAATTATGAATATTATCTGAATATTCTTTAAAAGTTTCATAAACTAATTTTAACTTCAAAACTTGAAGTTAAAATAAGTTGCAACACTAAATATTCTCTGGAAGGACCAATTAAATTTCATATGATCATATCTTTCCAATTTAGGAAGACAGCATTTTTAACACTAGCTAGTTTTGCAGTTTCTATGATATCTAAGAACAAAGACAAGATATTTACATTTTAGTGTAAGAAGTTCTTGAATTCATCTAACAACATAATTGTTTGTAAAACTTACACTATATTTTCAAAGTGTTTGTAGTTTTATTTGTATATATTCTGTATTTTCATTTAAAAAAATAAATAAAATGCATTTCTGATTGATTAAATAACTTAAGTGAACCCAGAAATTGAGAATCGAAAAGTGATTCAGATTAAACTTAGAAGAGAAGAAAAAGAGACTAGAGTAAGCAATTTTGCTAAGTTTTGGCCTAATATTTAAGATATAAGAACACAAAGAAACTGAGGAGAATGAGAAGTAACTCTTCAACTTTTCAGTCCTAATTTTCAGCAATAACTGATAGGGAGAAAAGGCAGCTGAACCTCTGTGTGACAGCACCGACACTCCACAAATCAAACAGTGCCTTGTGCCCTTCTGTAGAAAGAGTAATTCTGAAAGCTAAAATTTCATTTTGAAGGACAAAACAGGAATAGGAGGTCAACGGTGATATGCCACCACTTCAATAAAATACACACAAGAGAAAAGCTGTCTTACCTCTGGCCAGAAGCTGTTAGAAACACCGAGTATGTGTGTGACTAACCACTGTCCCAGGGGGCTCTTTCTTAGGCACATATGGAAGTCAGGGACAGCAGGGACTCCATTCTGACAGATGGCTAGGTCAAGTTTATAAATCACATGGTTCGTTTGAAGAAACACCATGTAAATTTCTTTAAAAGAGCCAGGAGCCTGAGTCTAGCTCATTTACTGTGTTCCTAGTGTTAAAAAAAAAAGGGGGGGGGATGGTACACACAGCCCCTCAGTTCATTCTCGGCACCTCACATTTTTTATACATAAAATGAAGAGAAAAACAGCAACTACATCACAGGGTATGTTGCTAGGATTAAATGAGCAAATGCATTACAAATAATTAGACGAGTGCCGAGCACATAATAAGTATTTATTTAAAATGTTTTTAAAAATTATTTCTACCAAACATAGCCTGATTCTATGAAGCTCATCCTTAAAAAAAAAAAAAAAAAATAGGTACACTTCCAAAAGTGGTGTATGATTTACTAGTTGAAGATAGAAAAAGAAAGATCCTGTACTCTTCCCTGTTTTTCTGGCAAAAGAGAAATTTCGATGTTTCAATTACAATAAAATTTGACTGAAGGGCAAAACAAGACGATACGGTTGAAATAAAAAATGACATGGAGTTAAAAGACATGATATACATGTTAAATGGGTATGGGGAGGACTAAATGGGAATATGTATGGGAAAGCCACCGAACAAAGAACCAAGCATTCTGTTTATTGGTGGCTGGTTCCTAATTGGAGATGCCGTAGGGTCTAGGGAAGAACAGCACTTACAATTTAGAAAATTCCACTTTTGTTCTTTTTGGTCAATAAATTTTGGCATTTATTTTCACACTGTGGTTGTCCATGTTTTCAACATCTAAAATATGAGCCAATAACCAATGACAGTTATTGACACATTAACTGAGGGTGACTTTACTGTCACTTAGTGACCTTATCCACTGAAGCCGTTGAGGAGTTTCAAGCATCCTTTCCTGCTGTGAGAAGGATGTGCCATTGGAACTACTCAAGGTTGTCAACATGTTTCACAAAAACAACTTAAATGGACAATAAACTCATATACCACAACAAAATGGAATAATGGAAGGGGAAATAAATCACCTTCCCTCAATAAAGTGCTATAAGGAAATGGTAAAAATAATCCAACAGATTTTAATAAGTCACTTTTAAAGGGGCCCCCCAAACCCACATATTTTGCATCTGGAATTCGGAAACATATAAGATAGTAATGATACCAGTTAGATTTTATAAATGTAATTGTAGTTTCTTTTCAATTTAAGTGGCTGACTTTACAATGCTTAGCATGGAACTTGGGTCTGTGGAAAAAAAAAAAAGTAGATGGAGAGCCCTCCTCAGTAAACCAAAACCACATATTTTGACAAAATGGAAATGAACCAAAAGGGGATCTAAAATCACCAGGTGACACTCCTGGCTGGGACAAGAGCAATCAGACCACCCATGAGTATTCACTGAACGCATACAACATACCAAGTCTTTATAAATGACCAGCTTCTAAGGCTCTGCTAAGACAAATCCCACAGCATCACTAATTTAAACTGAGAAAGCATCTATCTAATCTGCCGGGTAGTTTCCAGGCATTATTAGGTTCTGGTTGAAATGCTATGGCTCGGAGCAAGAGAATATCCTCCTTCCTCTATCCCTTTTCATGGTCTCATCTTGTCTCTTTCTTTATCTTAAGTTACTAAGAAGTTCTTTTAATCTCTCCTTAAAAGGAAGTTCTTATCCAGAAGGCATAGACAAATTTAAGGCTGGCCATTTTTTTTCTTTGAAGAAGAAAAACAAACAAAACAAAACAAAAACACCCCAAACAAATAATACTCTGCATCTGAACCCCACAAGAAAACAAGACCCAGGCCATCCAATGGCTTTGTCAGTATTAATATCACTGGCGTGGAACCAAAGCAATACAACTGGATTGCATTTTCCACCCCCAACTACAAATGGTATGAAAAGAAAAGTGCCTGATCTTCAAACTTGGGATCCTGGGACTTACTCAATTGGTACACCATAGTGGAAAAAAAAGAAAAAAAAAAAAAAAAAAAAAAAGCTTGTTGCCAAAAGGATGTCTTTTTTAATGTTTGTTAGCTCATCTTTTGATGCATAACCTATAAGAATGACAGACATAAAGCATTTATCCTCTCCTCCCAACCTGAAAACACCCAGAGAAAACAAGGCCTGTGTAAGAGCTGTGGGTGGTGAGGGAGAGGGGAAAGCCAGGCACTTACAGATACGGTGGAGCTGGGTGTGTTTGTCCCATAGCCAGAGGAGGGGAGAGAAGCCAAGGACCAGCGACGTCCATCAGTTCTGTTGAGAAGAAGAGATTAGTTTAGGCCAACAGTGGAGAGCCATGACCTGGGAATCCTAGGGAAACCAAGTACTTTTAGTCAAACAAATGACACAAACGTGGTCCGTGAGGATGTGGAAATGTTCAGCAGGGGCCAGGATAAACAAAAATTATACAGCAGGTTGACTTTTATCTCAACTGAATCAATATGCCCAAACAAGGAGAAAGTGAATGGGTTGATCCATAATATTGATCTCTCACTAATACACTTTGACAAAATGAATACCTCGGATAATTACAATGGTCAGACTCAGCAGATTCAAAGGAATAAACACAGAAAGGGAGGAGGAAAACACTCTAATCTGGAAACTGGAAACGGGGGCCATAACCTGGAAGGGCCTGGATGCCACGTGCTGCAAGCCGGTGGGGACTTTCCTTAGATCTCAAAGACAGTTCCGCTTATTATTTCCAAGGGACTAGTCCCACTCATGCTGCCTGGGGAAGAAAGGATCAGCAGGCTCACGGCTGGCTCAAGCCTTAAGTGGCAAATGACTTTGGCACTAAGCAAGTGTCTGACCTTATGCTCAGAATCTCTTAAGAGTGATTCCATTCTGACATGACCTGGCTTTAGAAAGTGTTTCAGCTAAAGCCTCTTGCAGAGTGGGTGCGTATGCAGCCATCTCTGACTGACAGCGGGGGCAGAATAAAGATGTTGTGCTAGGAACGAAACTGAATGCAAAGAGTGGAGTTTTCGTCCCAGTCTTAGAGCCAAAGCTGTCAGGAGTCTTAAAAGAGAGTAGTTTTACCTCCAAATGGTGATGGGGCAGGTAGCTCTCTGGGTTGAATGAATTAGGGTCATTACATGGATCTCAGATGAATTAATGAAGCAATAGAGACAATACTGTTGTGAGACATCAGAAAGCAAATTTTCTAAACTCTCTGACCTTCCAGAGCCATTGCTTTATTAGTGAGGAGGAAACAGGAAAAACATGCTCTATAAAGAGCTACACTGGAGTGTCAAATACAGACTTTTTATAGTGGATGATTATATTAATTTACTACATGAGAGATGAGAGTGGACCACGTTGGTCAGACATATTCACGGTAAGTTGAAGTCAGGGAATTTAACAGCATTAGACCTGAATTTGAGAAATGTCACAAATAGATGCCCATGTAAAAACAAAACAAAAAACAAACAAACAAACAAACAAACAAACAAAAAAACCTGACAGCTCAGACTAAATTACGTTCAAGGGAAAATATGATCCCAGGCTACCATGGATGCTGCCTCCGAGAAATGCAATGGTCCACAAAGATGAAATGGAGAGTTCCAAGTGGACAAATCACAGCAAGACTACAAGGTGAGGATTTCAGTAACATTTACCTGTCATTTCTGTGACCATGATTGGAGTACAATTGAATCAAGAATGTTTTAAGAGAAAGAAGCAAAATAAGATGTTTGTAAATATACCAGAGAGAAGAAATTGGGAAAATTAAATCATATGTTCTTTAAAAATATTTTTAAAACCACTGAAAATGTTCAAGATTTAAGAAGAAAGCAATTACAGTAAAATGCTTCTAAAGATATCAAGCTATCAAATAAAAGAACATAGGGGGTCCTATTTTCTTTGGCTACTTATGAAAGACTTAAAAACCAATGCCTGTACTTTAGAGTTTAAACACCTCCAATTTTTAAAAGCAAGAAAAGGCTATGATTTTAAAACGATTGCTTACTCCAGTGGTTGGCAAACTCATTAGTCAACAGAGCCAAATATCAACAGTACAAAGACTGAAATTTCTTTTGAGAGCTAATTTTTTAAAATTAAATGTCTTCTAAGGCCACTTCTTCAAAATAGACTCGCCCAGGCCATGGTATTTTGTGGAAGAGCCACACTCAAGGGGCCAAAGAGCCGCATGTGGCTCGTGAGCTGCAGTTTGGCGACTACGGACTTAGTCCATTTAATAGCAATTATCAGAAACTAGTCTCTGGTAAGAGTAAGGGACAGAATTTCCCCCCCATGATTTTGTTTTGTGATTCATTAACTCTCCTTTCCCTCAGGTATCAACGAACTTTTTTCAGACGAATGAACAATTCCAAGAGGAGTCATGTTCTTATTAGTTCTGAAGCATAAATCACATTTGCTTATTCCAGAAAACACACAACCAGAAAGATGTTTAAACAAAAATGTGCTTGGGACCTTGTGCAGGGACCAGAAATAATTTATGTCTCATAAAGTTCCCGAAGTTGTCCGTGTCTATTTACTCAAATGGAGCACACAGGACCATTGCATTTTTATTACTATGACAACCGCACATTAGAAGTTACTATGGATGCTATATATAGTACTTCAGAGAGAATGCCCTTTTCTTCATGAAAGCTATCTCAAAAATGCAATTTGGATCCTACTAACAATGTTGTCTTTCCTTTGCAGTAGCTACCAGTAAAATGTTATCTGAAGACAATATTCTTGCCAAAACAAGGCTTTTTGGGAAAAAAAAAAAAAAAAAAAAGCTTTTTTCTTTGTGGGTGGAAATATCAGTGTTCTGCTAAATGGAAAAGTAAGAAAGGAAAACATCTGATGGGAACACAAGATACAAAGAGATGGGCAAAAAAAATCTCAATACCACTCACAAAAAGTTAGATTAATATGGTGAACAACAAAGAAAGAACGAAAAGTTCCCACATCAACCTGGCTGTTATAACTGTATGAAAAGGAAGAAGATTTCTTTGTTTAGTTGGTATAGTCACCTGGGTGATGCATTTTATATTCTAGTTGAAGTTGGACTAAGCTAATATAATGTAACCAACTAAAGTTCACTCCAGAGAGAATTCTGAACTTAACTAGTAGGTTGCTCTGCCCACTGGCGCGTAACAAGTGCCTTTTGACCTGAGCTCAGCAGGCAAGTCTGTTCTAGTCATTTGCCTGTGGAAATACATTCTGATATTTAACCTGGTAAATAACAACAAAGCAACGAGAAGACACACATGGCTTTATTCAGGGCTTATATATCATATGAGAGTGAAAGCAATTTATAAAGAATAAATCTCCACAACTTCTGGGAAAGGCAGAACAATGTTATTCTTCCCATTAAAAAAAAAAAAAAAAAAAAAAAAAAAAAAGTAACTCCACGATCATAGGGACTGTAAACCAGTATTGTAGTTAGCAAAGTAAAAATGTGTTTCCTTGCTTTGGACAAAATTAACTGTATTACAATGCTTTTTTTCATCCTTTTGTTTTAACTTGATATTAAAAAAAGTTAACTACATGAATTTGCTCACAAATATGTATTAGATAATTTGGAAAGCAAGTGTGCCTATCGTATTTTTGAAATTAAACTATGACATGACAGAGGATGTCTACAGGGAGAGTACTACTTATCACATGGTATAAGATCAGAAGCGATCAATAATCTGATCTTCAGCCCTACACTGAAGAATAATTTGAAAACAGGGCAAGCTCTCCTCTATTGGACCAAATACACAAAACAATAAAACACGGAAGTCTCTGAATGGCATTACTTTTTAGGCTCCGAAATGTATACCAAATGAAAGCCAATGGAGGACCCAGAGATGAATTTCCATGTTTTCTAAATGAAATTGAGCTTTAAAATGCAGGGGACAGACCCTAGGTAAATAAAAATATGCCAACTGGAGTTTTCACAGCAAACACGGGTTCTGTTTACCTGAATGAAAGTTTAAAAAGATGATCACTCATATCCTATCTAAATTAATACTTTCTGAAGAGTGTGGAGAGAGTTCCATCTGGAAATTCATGCAAAATGAATTAGAGGTTTCCCATGATAATCTTCTGTCACGGTTTATGGTTTATTTGTAAAAAATTAACATGCCTAGGGGTTTGTGTATTTTTTTAATAGCTAAGAAACTAAATTCATCTGTCTTCCAGTCACCCACTTAATTATTAGATTCTCTTTATTTTCATAAATCTGGCAGGATTAAGAGGCTATGATTTCTGTCATGTTTAAATGCATGCTATAATGAGATTGCATTTTTCTTATTACTTAAAATAATTAAATGCATTCTCTTTAAAAAGAAAGAGAGAGAGAGGTGTGTGTTTTAAAGACTATGGTGGATTCCTACTTGTCCATTTTTAATTTTGGTTTTTGTTTCCATTTATAAGAGTAGCACCTCCACGAATTAATATTCACTGGGCAAATGCAGGCCTTGTGGGACCAGTTTATTTCCCCATTTTCTTTACAGTGCTTAAAACAAGGAGCTAAAAAGTGGAACTAGAGGAAATCATGGTATGGATCTCAGGAAGTTCTTGGAGATCATGTCTTCATCCCTCTGTGTCCTCATGATGGAGGACCGAGACCTTACACATGGACATTTAAACATACAGTGTGTGTGTGTGTGTGTGTGTGTGTGTGTAATGTTTACAAGGGAATCTTACTTACAGAGAAGTCTGAAAATACTGCAAACAGATCCTCTCTTCTGGATTCAGGAATATAAAACGCATTACATGCTGACAAATGGCAGTGAGGACAGTGTAGTTTTGCTGATCGGTAACAAGTGTTAAACAAATCTATTTTTTTTTTTTTTAACTTACCTATGTGTCTTTCAGTGCTACTTTAATCCACTTGAAGATATAGCTAGGTCTCTGAGGAAAATTGGGCAAATATCTATGACATTCAGACCGTCAACTGAATTTATCCTGAATATTGAGAGACTTCAGTGAAGGGGCATTTTGTTTTCTGTGTGTTATTTCTGGACAGGAAAAGACAGGGTATGTATGTGAGGGACGATGGGGCCAGGAAGGTGGAGGTTTGAATCTGACAGGGTAACATACATTAATTCCATAGACAGACATAGGAAGGATGGCTGGGTATACCTCTCTCACTTGGCGAAATCACAGAAGATCTGACCCTGAAAAGTTTCTATATGAGATTATTTGCCCTGCTGTCCTTAGAGGGCAACACTTCTTTTGACTCAAGGACCCAGATAGGAGCCAGATATCCTTAATATTGGTGCCCAATTCTAACTACAATAGAAAACATAAACCTTCCTATGGCTCCTGCATCGCTTTATCTCAGGGGGATCCATCAAATAATGGCTGGATGATCTCAAGTAAAGAGGCGTCTTAGAGTTGATACCTTGTGACCCCCCAAAATGTCATTTTTATTTTTTTAAAGTGCATTTCAAAAACAACAACAACAATAAAATATTGCACCAAGGATACATAGAGGAATCAAGTCCTTATACTGTAAGCTCAGAAAATTCACTAAAAATCTGTTGAGCATTAAGCATGTATAAGGGATGCACTAGGCCTGGGGGAAAAGAGGAAAATGGTCATTTCCTACTATCACTGGGAGCCCACCATCGAGTGAAGGACCGAGAGGTAGAGATAACTCTAACACAAGGCAGAAATCATCACTAAAACTGGTGAAATCAAGAGTTTTAACAAAGTTCTGCGAGAGCCAATGCTACCTTTGGCCGGGGGAGTTCAGAGAAGGTCCTACGTAACAAGCAGGACCTCACAAGGCAGAAGGCAAGGGTGAAGGGGGTTCAGGGGAAAGTTGAGAAGAATGGGAATGTGGTTCTCTACATAAACATTTTCCTATTCAGCTCACAAGAAGTCCTTACCTCCGTGCAAATGAAAAATGGGCTGAGGCACTGGGGGAGAAATTTCTTGGGCTATCTTGAGGGCTATTGCCTGTAGAGAGAAAGAAGGACAAAGTTTACAACATGACCTTGTTTATTCGTGTCCAGAACCTTCTTCTCTTTAGTAGTAAGTTTCTGTCCCCTTTTGCAAAATGCTTTAGTTTTACTTGCAGCCAGGGATCTGGGTGGAGGGGACAGAGTTCCAGCACAGCGTTCCAAGTGTACAAGATATATGAATCACCTCATGCCCCTATATCACCAGCTAGCAGCCCTGCACATGTTTAATAACATAAATACTCCAGTCCTACAGAATATCAGACACACGAATGTACGGGCTTCCACCCTCCCAGATGTGCTGGCATTTCAAACAGCAGGATGGATGCGGAAGCATCTGCTTTAAGGGGACAGGGTGAGCTGGGCTTTCTATTTTAGAGAGGGAGCCTTAGTGGCTTTCATCGTAGTAAACAGAAGAAAGAGTCTGAGTTCTGGAAAACAAATCCTCATATTCCCTAGTACCTATTTTAAAGGTGGATAGATACCTTACAACTAGTCATGAACACTGCAGTCCAGGCCTATGTTATCTCAAGTAGCCCAGGTCAATCTCAGCATGGCCAACGTGGCCCAGTAGGATTTGCCCTTACCAATACTTTCTCCTAAGCAGCAGGGCTGTGAAAAGCCACAGTCACACACCGGCCGACAGGGGGCCTCCCCAAGACCTTCTGGGCGGACAGAGCGCAGACAGACTGCTCACTGTAAGGAGGGCAGCCCCGTGGGGGCCCTGAGAACACGCTGCCGGCTGCTGATCGCTGCGAAAGCTTGGCAGGCAGCTGGCGTGGGGAAGCTGAGGACACTCCAGACCACCCTGCCTCCCCCCACATGTTTAATTAGATTGGCACAATTATCTGAGGACTCGATGGGGCTGTGGCTGGTTTCAATGAGGAAGTGAGGAAAGGCTGCAAACTAATCCCGTACGTTCTGGAAACAGGGAAAATAATCAGGAAGGCATTTTCAATCCTTAACGGCAAGCCAGTTGCCACATTACTGGTTTTGCAATAGAAGTGACAATTGTAATTAGGTGTAGGGAATACAGAATTGCACGTTAAAGTCAGTACCTACTCTGTAGAGATAAACAATTCATTACCTCCATACCGAAAGAATAGACCAACACATTAAAGAAGGTAAATTTACTGTTACCTTGAGGAGTTTTGGATTGGCTACACCTCAACTGAAATTTCTCAATTAACTCAAGGTTGCAAATTTCACAGTGATGCCTTCAACAGATGCCATTAACTTTATGACAGACAGCACAATCAGAGCCATTAACGGGAAAGCACGGAGAAGCCCATTTTTTGTGGGTAGAGAACCGAGCAGCATTTTCCCGTGCTGCAATCAGATTTATCTGCCTTTGCATCTGCTGTTCCTTGGGCCCCTGGAGAATGGATTCTGTTTCTGCCACCCAGCAATCAGGACTATTTCTGTCCATTTATCTACACGGCTAACTTAAGTGCTTTCAACTTCTCTCAGCAGCCTTTGTTCCCCTCTTAGGTGGTACATCACTCTTCATATTCCTTAAAAGGTCTCAATAATTTCAGGGTGGCTAAAAAAAAAAATTTTTTTTTAAGAGAAACATATCTACTGCCAGAAATCTTCATGGAAATTTTGTTTTTCACTCAGGAAAAATGTTCACTTTGCTCACACCCCGTATAGAGCACACTGCCAGTAAATTATTAGGAGAAACAAAACGATTGTTTGAAGCCAAGCGCTTTCAGAACAATCCCTGTTAGCCTATTCACTCTGAACAAATAATAAGGCCAATGGAACTTGTCACTGGTTCTTAGTCCTGTGCTCTTTGCAAAGCAAGCACTGTATCTGGAGATTATCTGGGATCAACTACACTAGTTACTGAGTACTTAGTGAATATATTTAAGAGTCAGAAGGAGGGAAAAACAGAGAGCTTAAAACCCTGTTCACTTTTAGAAAGTTTAATGGGTGATTCCCAAGAAGCCTTGTAACATTTTATAATACGCAGTGACCCATCACTTTGAGAATGAATGGGCAGAGATAGAAATGCAGAGGCAAGTTAACTTGGAAGGAAGGAAGGAAGGAAGGAAGGAAGGAAGGAAGGAAAGAAGGAAGGAAGGAAGGAAGGAAGGAAGGAAGGAGGGAGGGAGGGAGGGAGGGAGGGAGGGAGGGAGGGAGGGAGGGAGGGAGGGAGGGAGGGAGGGAAGGGAGGGAGGGAGGGAGGGAGGGAGGGAGGGAGGGAAGAAAGAAGGAAGGAAGGAAGGAAGGAAGGAAGGAAGGAAGGAAGGAAGGAAGGAAGGAAGGAAGGAAGGAAGGAAGGGAAAAGAAAAGAAAAGAAAAGAAAAGAAAAGAAAAGAAAAGAAAAGAAAAGAAAAGAAAAAAAGAAAGAAAGAAAGAAAGAAAGAAAGAAAGAAAGAAAGAAAGAAAGAAAGAAAGAAAAGAAAAGAAAAGAAAAGAAAAGAGAGAGAGAGAGAGAGAGAGAGAGAGAGAGAGACACCTTCAGGTTCTGCCTTTCCATCTCGTGCTGCCTTTCTAGACCCATTCATTGAGCATGTTCCTCATTCTCTTCTCATGAACTCCTCCAGAGCTGTAAAATCCAAATTCCCATACCTTCAACTTCAAGACAATACGGCCATCTGTACTGTCTTACTATTCATACAGCTTTCTTCTTGTTTCAGGTCAGATTGAACAACTAAATTGAAATTCACACACATACACACACCACATTATTTCAAAGACTCTTAAGTGTAGTGAGCTATTAAGAGAAAATGAGGGTGTTGTGAAGAGAATACCTAGCAATTCCTTAAGGACAAGAGACTAGTAGCTTAATATGAGGGCAGCTCAGCAGGCTGGAGGTAAGAGATAAAACAGAAGGACTCAGAAAGGGGACAGAAAGAACCCAGATGCAGGAGAGACAGGCCCCCTGGAAGTAGGGCACTATCACCTACATGTACTGAAACCAGCTAGTGGGAAGCCGAAGGAGATGTGTGGTGGCAAGAGAGATGCTAGAGATTGTAACCTGGCATGACTGCCCTGGGAGGGTGGACAAGGGAATGGCTGAGGAGGAGCTAGGTTAAGAAAGACATGGAAAGACAACAGAAAAATTGTTAGCTGAGCAAACCAAGTATAATTGATGATAAACTAGAAATAAGTAATGAAAAAGGTCACAGACCACAAATGACCCTTGTTTCCAATATGGGTAGATTGGAATTACGTGTCCCACTGACAGAGAATTTTGAGAGAAGTGGGGTGGGTGGGTCACAGAAGAGAATGGCAGATGAGTATTGTGTAGATTTTTGTCATTTATTACCATATTCCTGAAAACATTCCTCCAAAAAGTTTTCCTTTGGGAGAAATTACCAGGTTAGCAGATGAGATAGGCAGAAGTCAATCTTGGAAGTCTTTTGTTCTTATTTAAAATAAACATTGATTTCTGTTATCGACTCAGTCTTTGAAGACTCAGGGACACTTTTTAGTAGTTATATAGTGATCAAAATAACCGCTAATGTAGAGCACATCCAATTATAAAGCACACCTTCTATATTCCTATCTCAGAGGTGAGGGCCCAGCTGCTGTGGACAGACACAGAGCTTCCCCAGATGAGAAGGCAAGATGGATCAAAACCAACGTCCTATCCATGACCTTCACTCCTCACAGCACGGCTTTCCGAATTCATCCCCCCATCTGCAGAGCAATACCTGGGAGACCTTCAAATGAAAACTGGTGCCAGTTAATTCTCTGCCCATATGTGCTGCACTTGCTTATAACTCAAATCCTGCTGCTCCCGGGGATTCGCCGCCTCTCGGATGTTTGAGAGCTAGGACGCTTTACAGACGGCGGTGCCGCTGCAGATGTTCCTGACCTGGTGAAGGAAACCTTCGTAGTGGTCAAGCCGCCGGGTTGGTAATTAACTCCAGGATCCCCCGGGGGAACGAGCGAGGCTAATAAACAAGCAGTATATCAAAATGGTACTTTACCTAATGGCGCTGCACAGGGTGCCTCATTTCCGAGGCAGTTATTGTTAAGAAAGTGATTTCCAGATTAATTAAATTGTTTGATTGCTTTGTAATTAGGCTGGAGAAGTCCTGCGTCTTCACAGAGAAAACAGGCTGCAAATCTTTTTCAAAGGCATATGCTATCCCCACTATAGATTATTAATGGGCTTTTAATAGCTTTCTGTTCGCCAAATGATCGTTTCTGGTTGCCTTGATTTTTCTATCAGGACTGAGGGAATCCAAGAATTAATGGTAACTGCCATGTGAAACTCCGAGCAGATCAAAGAGGAAGCCCCCACTTGAGTTTGTGTTGTTATTGACCGATCTGCCCAAATGCCTCACGATGTTTTAAACCTTCACAATGAGGGTTGGAGGTTCTCAGCAATGGACTGGCGCTGCGTAAAAACCTGAAGACCTAACTTGACGCAATCAAACCGAGGATCTTCTTACAGGAGGAATGCCAGCGATGGGGGAACCTTGGGCTGAATGAACTTTCAAAAACAGTTCAAGTCATCTGAGAAGTGTGTCTCCCAGACCAGGCTGATGCAAGAGCTAGAAATCTTCCTCTCACTCAGACAGCCGTCTCAGAAACTGGCTCCTCTCCAGAGGTGACTGCAGAATATTAATTAACCTGGACAGCTGCTCAGAGTCTAAGTGGACACAGGAAAACCTTGACTGGTCTTCAGTGGAACTGTCCCTGGGACGTTGTGAAGTGTCCACAGCAGGCCAAGGAAGAGAAGCAGGCTCATCTGCCTGGGTTTTCAAGTAGAACGGACCACACACAATGAACCAAAGGTTTCTTAGACTCTGGGCTCTCAGATCCTCTTTGGTTTTCCCCAACCCCTCGCTGCTTATTGATCCTCCCATAGCCAGCACCACTACTCACTGCCATCTGACTGGTTCATTTGACAAATAGTCACCAGTCCTCCCTGTGGTACATAGAAGGTAATGGTGTGATTTGGATTACATTGCAGAAAGATCCCTCTTGCTGGGCCAAAAGCAGACAAGAGTGGAAGGGGGATCAGTTAGGAGACCA